GGGGGATCGACGAGAAGATCAAGTCTGAGGTTCCCTGCCTCAGACTCCCTACTATATATACTAATACAATGGTGCACAGACCAGGTACCTATTGACCATCGTTTGGTCAGAGTTCTCTGCCTCATGGCCTACCCTCTGACCTGCCTCATGGTGACCTTACGACTAATACCTGAGTCGTGCCGAGTCCGGACCCCTCCCAATGAGTAAGCGCTCCTGCTGTCACATCAGTCACCTGCCTGTGAGTGAGGATGGGCGCTCCTGGCCGTCACGAGGTCTGGGGTTCAATCCTGGCCCCTCCACTTTCCGATACGAGTTGTCCGTGGTCAAGGTGAGCGTCTGTCCCAGTACACATGACCCTCAGGTCACGTGGCACGAGAAAACTGTGACACTTACCAACATTCGCACATTTCCATTTTCTCAACATTTGCCCCCCTTTTCCTCATTTTGATCGCTCTTCCTCAGAGTGTTACCCTTCTCACATCTCTTCTGCTTTCATATTCTTCACCTTTTCTTGACATCGATCTCTCCTTCCTCGGCGAGGATATGATGTCATGCGCTTTAGGCGCCGATGTTCGGATTCCCTCGATGTACCCTCTGTCTCTTAATCCACCACGTCTACCATGTCTATCCCCTCGTTTGCAAGCTGTCTCCCACTATATCGTTTTACCAGGTACTGTTCCCTCAACACAGTCTCCCGGCAAGTGTTTGTAGACAATGGCGATGAATAACAACATGTGCACCTCGCAAGACCTCGCCATGGCCTCCCCAGCTGATCTGCAAGGTGCCAAGTACGTACTACTCACTCCCTCACTCTCTGACTTCCTTGAGTGCCTGAGTCACATGTCTGTTCCAGGTGGATACATGTGCGGCCATGGTACATGGAGACCGGGTGAACGCAGGACCTTCGAGGCTCACTACAAGGCTCTGACTTGTGCCGAGCGCCAGGTGCGTTTGGCCGCATGTATCGCCTTCCTTTGCTCACCATTATCTCGACCGCCCTCTTTCCTAGGCCATACCCTCCCTCTCCGCACTGATGTTGAGTCACGCCACAGCCCTATTAACTCTGTCAAGCAAACGTTCTCAGGCCTCCTCTCGCGCCTGCTATTCTGATCATCGGTCCTGGGCTCGGGCGCAAAGACTACATGCAGACTTTTGCGAAGCTCGCACTGAACATCACCAAGGAGCAGGGCATGCATGTATGTCGCCCTCGACGCTGACGGGCTGTACATGGTCGGCCAGGACACGTCCCTCATCCAGGGCTACCGGCGTGCGGTCGACATACAGGCTCGGACATGTCCCTGCGTCATAGACAGTACGTTTCTAGCACCGCTATTGAGTCCCATTGCCGAATCTTACTGATAAGATTGCACTTCAAATGCTGACAATGTCGACAACGCGCCCGTTCAAGTGGTCAACAGGAGGCCTAGGCATTGCACGCGGTTGTTTCTCTCTTGGCGGCAGGGTCGTATCGCCGACCAGCGGACTCGTGTGCCGTCTCGGGCTGATCCCATTGTGATCCAATGGCGTCCAGGATTCTCCGCGAGTATTCGATGATACCTGATCGTAGCTGTATTACCCCGTGTAGCCATACGACAGCATACAATAGTATACAGTAATGTGACGATGTTCTGCTACAAAGTGTCTCAACAGCAACCACGCCTAACCAAAGGAAAACACCCGAGCCCGACCCAGCCCAACGGTGATTGGTTGGTATCGCGCGGCCCCCGACTGCATACAACAACATACAGTCAAAGTAGGTTCCACTGCCAGATTATGGGTGTGGTCGGGTTTCCCGATATCATACGGTACAAAACACTCTAAAACAGGGGAGCCCATGTAAGTTCTCACTGGGGGTCATGTCCCAATGCCTAGCTCCGGACCATCCCATCGTAATCGACATAGCACGCACAAATACGGCCATACACGATCTCAGACGCCCCAAATCGACCGTAACCATGTCGATTCTCACTGGGCATGACCTGTGACAGGCATCCATTCCCAGGCCATTTCTCTGTCCCAGTTTGGGTCCGGGACATTGGCCAATGCCCGTCGTGTTTATTCATTATTAGATATGAGATTTCATGCATAATTCCCCGCATACCATGTCGGTTGCGGCCTCGGGCTATCCACTATGAGATATTATGCATTATTAGAGTATTCATTATAAGATAATCAACTGTATCGGGGGCGTATGAGCTTTATGATGTTGATGCCGTCTCTTTGAAGTCATAACTTGAGGAATATGCACAGATAACGCCCCCTGAATCAACCTCACGTCTTTCTTCTAAGTTCAGCCTTCTCCAGGTACTTTGACAATGCCTCGATACCAGTTACCGAAGCGTCTGAGCTGATACTGGCCTCGAGATTAGCCTTGGCGATCACCGCAACTCTGTTCGCCTCTTTCATCCTCTCCTCTTCCCAAGCCGCGATGGCCGCCTCCCGTTTCTCTGCGCTCTTACCAGAGGTGATGGCGTCCGTCAGAACCAGACCGAGCTCAAGGCCGTCAAGCATAGCGAGATTGACCCCTGCACCCGCGAACGGGCTCATCAAGTGCGCCGCGTCTCCGACGAGGGTCGCGCCAGGAACATGGCTCCACTTGTGGTCCGTGGGTAGGTGGTACATCGAACGCTGGTAGATCGCGTCGTCGTCGCAGAACTCAATGAGCTTGCGCATAGTCGGCGACCAGCTCCCGTACTCCTCGAGCAGGATCTTCCGCGCTTCCGCTGGATCGCTGGGAAGCACCCAGTCTGCCGGACGGCGGAACATGAGGTACGTGCGGATGCGCCCGTCGCCATTGAGCTGTGAGGTGATCATCTGGTTTTTACCGAGGGCATATAAGCTCCCGTCACCGAGAAGCTCGGCTGCATCCTCCAACTCTGGCCTCTTCGTAAGCTCCGGTGAGATGGACACCTCGGCGCCAGTGATGCCGTGGTAGAGCGGCACGGCTCGGGAGACAAGCGGGCGGACCCGCGAATTTGCACCATCTGCGCCCACGAGGATATCGACGACAGCGATGTGGCCGTTGGCGAAGGTCAGTTCGCGCTGGCCGTTCTCGAGACTGCGTACAGAGGTCAGGGCGTGGCCCCACTGAATAGCGTCGGCAGGGACAGCATCGAGCATGATCTTCCGCAGCACGGAGCGGTCGATCTCTGGGCGGACATCCAAAGGGTTCTCATTCGGATCGGCACCCTTGGAAACTAGGATGTTACCAGCTGAGTCGCAGGCTCGGAACGTGTCGGCCTCCGGTCGAGAGTTGAGGGAAAAGACCTCCTGGAGGCCGTTCTCGCGTAGGGCGCGTTGACCGCTGTCATGTCCAAGATCCAACATGCCTCCGAGGTGGGCGCGCGAATCCGCGCTCGTCTCGCGCTCGTAGAGAATGGCAGGGATGCCGCGTCTGTGGAGCGTAAGGAGAAGGATGAGGCCCCCAGGACCTCCGCCTATGATGGCGATGCGGGGGAGGGTATGTGTAGTCATATCTGTCGAAGCTGCACATCCATGAGTATGGAGCCTATTCTTGTATGCAGAGCTCACCCTACCCTAGTCGCGTCCTCTGCTGAAGAATCAAATTGGGTCGAACGAAGGAGCTGTCTGTGTATATATTCTGACCCTCGATGTATAGCCTTTATAACGTCGACCTGATGAGAACCTTAAAGGAGCGGCACCTTCGTTACGTACGAGCTGAGAGGGTGATTAATGGTCCGACTTCGCGGGGAGCCCGAATGTCCGCCGAAGCAATTTCTAGGGAACCATCGCTCAGCAGCCATCGCAAGTGGGGCTGGAGGCCTGCAGAGTTCGTCAGCATTGTATTATCCCAGACGACCATCGCAGGAGGTTTTCCCAGGTGCGTAGCAAGTGTGAGTGAAAGATGTCAGAGCACGTGCCCGTTAGAAGACATTGCTGAGTCTTTCGAAGCCGCGCAATTGCGAGTGGGGCTCCTGGTGTAGCAACGAAGGGATCGGACGCATGCCTCACTAGCGGCCGAATGTGTCAAAGAGCGGTCATGGAGCAGTCAGCGTAATTGGACGACAATTGATCCCACAGGGCTTACCTGGAACCCAACGCAGTTGCCTTCGAGCCGCGCTCCTGAACTCCAATTCGCTCAGGCATTGAAATACGGAAAGGCCATGGGGGGCAGCTGAATGGACGTGCAGCCGGGCAAACCAGATTTGAAATATCATACTACGATGGCGAACAAGCGAATTGACCCGCCTAGACCTGTTCATTTGTTTTGTGCTTGGCAATAAGCGCCTGCGCGCGGGGACGCGAGGACGCGCGGTCCTCAGTATAGTGCCCCTTGGGCCTATGCATTGAAGACTGGCAAGAAGCCATCATGAGGTAGATATTCAAGGTGTACAATAGGATTCACTGACTCTCCATCCTCTTTTGGTTACGAATTCGATGGGACCTGTGTGTTGAGCGAGGTATGGACCGATGATCTGAGTAGCAGTCGAGTCCAAATAATGTATTTGATATCCCATCCTGAAGATTTTGTTAGCGTTGTAGTAATGAGTGCGATACCGTCAAAACACCTGTCGACAAACCCAAGAGCGAGCAATATGGAGTAAAGAGCAATTGCAGCATCATGCAACACAAAGAAATCCTCTTTACAACCGCAGTTGTTCAGGGCGATAGACAACCATAAGAGCGTCTTCGGTTTCTGCACAGATAACGTGATGCTGCATGACACTAGACTCCACCCCGCTAAACAAGTTTGTCGAGCACAACGGGGGTAAGCCGCGAACCGAAGTGAATGATATGTGGTGGAAAGCGTAGTTTATTTTTGCAAGCCCAGATGCCTACAGACTTGTGATGCCTGCAAGTAATCGCCCTGAACGCTTTAGTATGACGACGGGTGCCGAAGCATGGTCTGTGAACAAAAGCGGTCAATAGCACCGCTTAGAGCGATCAACATGCCACTTACTCCACCGTCAATCAGTACAGTCTCCCCGTCGACGAACCAGTTCGACACCAAGAAGAGTACAAGCGCTCCCATATCCTTGTTCGTCCCGGCTCCCCACGTTCCTTGAGGTACAGGACGCGAGACAGGTACCTCGAACCCCCACTCCAAGCCGGGTGGGAAGTGCGACCGACCCAGCTCGTCGATCGTACCAGGCGAGCTCATCTCGGTAACGAATAAGCCTGGGGCAATTCCATTGACACGGATGCCAAGAGGCAAGAGGTCGTGTGCTAGGGTCGAGGTCGCCTGCCCGATGGCGGCCTTCGAGAACATGTAGGGGTAGCTGAACCCGGACGTCGCGAGATCCTGGGAGAATTTATGTGTCAGTGCGCAGCGTCTGACATGGATAGCCAGAGGAGATGGACCTTGGTCCATCCGTTCATGGAGGACGTCATGACGATCTGAGGAGCAAAGCGCTGTCCGCCCGGGCTCTCCTTCCACTTCTCGAGGAGAGGGAGGAAGGCGAACGTGAGCCAATAGGGACCGACGGCGTTCGTGGAATGAGTGTTTGTGAAGTCTGCCTCCGAGACCGGATCAAAGAAAGCCTTAACATAGGCCTCTGCTGTGGCTTCAGTCGGCCTTTTGATGGCGGTAGTGGTGATACTGCATGCACCAAGCAACGTGAGTCGCACTGGACCAGAACTATAGGAAGAATACCAACCCAGCGTTGTTGAACAGCACCGTAACATGACCTTCGCGCTTCCTGACTTCGTCGGCCAGACGCAACGCTTCGGACTGTGCGACAGGTCCAACATGAACTGAACTGATGCACTCAGACGGAGGAGCGTACCTTCTTGCTTACATCCCCTGCAATGCCGTGAATGCGACCAGGCTTACGTTCCTTTTCAGCGGCATCGTTGTACACCTTCGCGATCCTGAAGGCAAGTGAGCTCCACGATGAGCGCCACACGGCGAACGACGGGTTGCCTACTTGTCGAGGTCTTCCTGCTTCGGCCCAATGATGTACACAGTAGCCCCGTTCGCTATCAGCGTAGTTGTTATCATCAGTCCGATGCCCTGCAGAGGCAGTGTGTATATCAATCTTATATCGTGAGACAGCGATTGAACGGACTGTGCCTCCGCCAGTCACGACCGCCACCACGCCAGTGAGATCGAAGAGGCTGGTCGAAGAGAGCTCTTTGAGTACCGAGTCCGCCATGAAGATCGATGGTCAAGGTGAGAATAGCCAAAGGGCTGCAGCTCCGTGGATGCAGACGGCTGTACTTATACTCCCAACTAGAACGCACTTCGCACGCTGCCGAGGGAAGATGACATCATCGTCCCTCCAGAAGTCAAGAAGACACGCTTCGGACATCCGCCCTCGTCTACCTAGAGCTGTGAAGGGTGCTTCAGAAAGTCTTGCCGCCCTAAGAGACACTGGAAGTAGCAATATGACTCACTTGCGAATGTCCAGAGCCACCCGATCACATAATGACCTAGTCCTAGCCGCCGTCACGATGGTGTCCGATCGGCGAACGCGAAGGGAACAATGCGTGCCAAAAGTAGCACGAGCAACGCAGCCACGGGCAACGAATGGGCCTGACCTGGAACAGGAATCATGAAGAAGGCGCTAGAAGGGATAGAACCGGCACCGTCGATGGAGCTGTGTTGAACAAATAAACATAGCACGCATACCGTCTCGCTCTAGAACCACATCGTACTCAAGGCGACGCCCGAATGAGCAGTTATTAACAAAGTCAATAGTGCAACAGACCGTGATATTTTGGTCGAGACACGAGACCTAGAGACGAGACAGGTTTAAAGACAGGAGATGCATACCCGTAACGGTGCTCCGATTGTTTACACACTCTCGTGACAGGAAACTTGGAGGCATTGTAGTGCTTCAAACCAACTCGAGCGCTGTCCAGTCCAACGCATTCAGCCATACTTTACGATGCGGAGCCACGCTGAGGACCTTCCACGCACCGATGTCACTCGCCTTGCTAGATCACCCCTTTGAGGCAGCGAACAAGGACACACTCATAAGGGTCAGGGCCCTAGAGAGGAGACAAAAGCACGTTAGCCAGTTCAGATGAAAATGAGGGCCTTTCCGTATGGCGCGCCTTCCTACCCTCTCTGCTCATAACCCTCAAACCCTATGCCACTTGCCCCAAGACGACAGTTCAACGAGCTGTGTGATTTCGAAGCGCCCTTAATGACGCTTCTACTAAGCCCGTCTCGCCGAAGCCCGTATCTTACAACGCAGGGTATATCTGGCACACGCATACCCATCAGCATTGAGCGAACCACCCAAACACGCACACTCACTATACTCGTACACTCGCCTCCATCAGTGGCGGCCCCAGCCCACACTATAAAACCTCGACCCACGCCGCCTCCTTTCCCCCCCGGACCAGCGCACCATCGTGCTCCTTCGACATGTGCCCCACAGACCCGACGCACGTCGCCTCCGTGCCCACCGACGCGTTCGTGTCACAGCGCCACAGGTCTGGGTCCTTTGCGTCCTCGTCCTCATCCTCATCCATGTCGCCATCGGCGTCGTCGCACAACATGGACCCGGCCATCGAGTGCGAGGCGCGCCAGCCCGAGCCGAGCTTGATCGTGGACAGGGGGCGGGACGTGAAGGCCATCGATGTGGTGAAGGTCTGCGTCTCGTTGCGGGCGCGCTGGTCGCGGAGGTTGAGGAGGAAGCGCGACATGAGGAGGGAGCCTAGCCTGTGATCAGCAGCAGCGGTCAGGGACCATGGCGGCACGGTAAAAACATGGCGGTCGCGGAACGTACGCTACGATCATGTCGTTCAAGAGGTTCGACCCGATGTTCATGACGTAGACGATGGCGATGACGTTCAGGAAACATACCGCCCTGCGACACGTCAGTACACCCCAGAACGAAACGCTAGAGGGGGGGCAGTCCGGGCTCACAGGAAGTAGAGTGTGCCGTCCCTGAGGATGAGCGTGGAGTAGTTCGTGCGGAAATCGACTCCCCTCGTGAGGACGTGTGTTCGATAGGTCTTCATCCAGGTGAGTACGACAACGAGCCCGTCCGAGAAGATGGAGATGACACGCGTCGCCACGGAGACTGCGCCATCCATGTGAGTATATGCGCACCGTCAGGGAGCAGCAACACACGCACGTCTTTTGTACGTGAGCGCCGACATGGCCGTGGGCACGGACTGGCAAGTGAATAGGTTCGATGGGACAAGGAAAACCGTCGAGGCGCTTCGGAAGTACTGGCACAATGGTCCGTCAGTCTCGTCGGATTGCGTGGGAATACGAAAGCGGACTGACGATGTTCGCTAGCGCAGGGAGCAATCCTGCGAGCATGATAGCTGCGAATAACCGGTAGTCGCGATTCCACAGGGCAAATACGCGGACCGCCGCGATAGCTGCGCGTCGTTATTACAACATATTCAGTCCAATGACTTATCCGCAATATAAGAATCGAACATACAAGACATTACGACTGCGAGTATTGATGTAGTGATGACTTGAAACCAGGACACGATATTACACGCCTACAAGGCGCGCTGTATGTGAATGAAGCCGAAGGAACCGGACGTGATAGAGGACTTACGTCGAGCGAATGCAGCGGAGAGAGGGAAATGAGAACGAATATGCGCTGAAGGAGGGTGATATATCTCGTGAGGATGAACAGGACGGTGGTCCCAGAGATATCACGTTTCCAAATTTGCTGCACCTCCAGGTCGATGGTGAGGGCATAGTCATATACGATGATAGCTAACAACGCAGCCAGGTGGGGACCCATGGATGGTGAGAGGCAAGCAACGACGTACCTGTAGCAGCGACGGATATGAGGAACGCGCTACGACCCACCCAGTTTGAATTCAGGACCACACTGTATGCGCAGCATGACCACAGACGAAGCACTCACCCCTCCGCATGCTCCAAGACCGGCTTCAGCTGTTCTATGGTAACGGAGGTGGACATGAAGGATTGAAAAACAACCCCTGCCTGTCCCTCCTAACGTCACGTAGAAGCAGATGCCCCAACAAAACAATCGCCGTCTCTGTCCGGACCTGCTGAGCAAGAGAGATCAGGATGGCGTCTACAAAAGCACGAACGCTATCCCCAAGGGGATGGCTATGACATGCAGCTGACGCGAGCCACAGCGAAGGCAGGAGCGTTAAGAATGCGATCGTCCTCACCTGGATGAAGTGAGGCCTCAACGGCTGCACGCGGTGTCTAGTCGCAGATCCGGGGGAATGTGATATACGAGCACACTCGGATCCCCCAAGTCTGTAGCTGTACGTAGAACCGGTGTCGACAAGTGCACCCCACTGCGGAAGATACAAACGAAGAGAGACCAGCCCAATAATGTAACCGATAAGCCAGCCAGCGGAAGGAGCCTCAAGCTCACAAAGAGAGAAGAGCGGGGAGCAGAGGAGAGGGAGGGTCGACGGCCGACGTAGAGGCTCAGACGGAAGCCTGTCTAGGATGTGCATAGCCGTACTACCTAGGCCGTACTCCCGCGCTCCCACGCGGCACATCTGACGAGCACGATTGAGCTGTCTATCTGCAGGACCGATGAGCGGGCCGCCAAAGGCGGGGTCAATGTACGCGCGCGTAACCAGGTGCTGTCCGCAGACGATGATCACAGCAACCTCAGGCACCGAGCAAGACGCCGATTTGTATTCCGTCGGCTACTTATAGCGCCTGCACTCGGTTTGCTCCATTGCGTATTCGTATATCGTACATTGTACATTGTAACACCCACTCCAACTCTAAACAGACCCTTGCCGACCCGCCTCCTCAATCACTGCCGCATGCATGCTTACCAGAGTCCTGCTACGTCGAGTTAAATGGAGCACGATAGCAGGATGCGCAGCCAGAGAAGCACTCACCGTCATCCACACAGATCAGCATGAGCTTGATGTCGACTTTGGAGCGCGATCGAGGCAGCGCCTTCTCCAAGGACGCCATATACTCCCTGCCTTCTGAGGCCGCCGCCCGCTTGATCACCGTCCCGTCTGGCAGAGGGCTTATCCAGCTGAACACCAGAGGTTCGCGTCCACCGACCCCGCCGTCGTCATGGTCCACAAGAACAGTGACCGTCCTGAGACCAGGCAGCGCAACAAGCGCATCGTCAAACTCCCTGCCGTCCAACCACCGAGGGTGATGCAGCACCAAGCGCACGGCGTCCTCGCGGACAATTCCGTTGATAGGGACTCTAGGGAAATGAAGAACGACCTCTTGCACACCCGGCGGCGCAGAGCGTAGGATGTCGGTGTTTCTGCCGATGACATCATCACCGAGTCTAGACAGCATTCCGTCTGAGTCGGGGGCGAATTGTAGGGTGATTCGCTCGATGGTCTTCGCGGCGCCCAGGGCGGGTATACGCCATCGCGGGGCTGGCGGCACTGTGATCCGGATATGGACTGTCTATGAGGGGTCTATGGAAGTCGAATAGTAGACTTACATTCTTGACTCCTCGCCGACTTATGCAGTGCAAGCCTGGAAGTGTTGATGCCCAAGTCTCGCAATTGCAAGCGTGGGTCGTCTAAGACGGTGTTGGGGGCAGCACTCTCCGCAACGTCCCCAAAATCAAGCCAAAGCCCGCGCAGCGAGGGGACGTGGAGGACGTATCGCAGGAGTTGTCGTACGGCGGGGTGTACCATACAGAATTGACTTTCTACGGAGAGATTCTGTACGTGCAGACGAGATTGTAGCCGAGTCCAGTAGGCGGAAACCACGTCGATTGATGCCTGGGAGAGCCATGTATCGCATATACGAAGGACCTCGATGGCGCTGAATAGTGAAAAGACCCCATAGATCCCAGGAACTTCATCAGCTGGATGGAAGCTATCACAACCATCCATGGTCAGTCGCCTGAGGGGTTTGTTAGAGGGCACTGGGGGAGAGGCTCCGGGAGGGAATGGTCGGAAAATGACCTGACTGATATGAACGTCCTTGAGGTTTGGGAGCAGGCGCATGAGTGCTTCAAGGTCGTCTTGCCCCACAGCTTCGTCAAATGTATATACGGCAGCCGCTGGGTCCTCATGAATCCGAAGCTCATGCACATACGGCGCGACGTCGGGACAATGCGATAGCCACAGGTTGAGAGCGGGGACAGATGCGGAGGGCCGTAATGGCTTGCACGTCAGGGTCCGAAAGAGGTGGTTGGTAGCCAGAACCTGCATACGAGTGAAGAGGCTGCGAGGGAAGAGATATCGCCGTGCAGGTAGTCAAAGATGTGATCCACTATTTCTCGTGGCAGAGGGTGGAACATTATGCGGAGTTCGAGTACTCTTGAAATGAGATGGTGATTCGCGAGCAAGCAGGTATCCGTTCCAAGCTGTCTTTGACAGGCGGGGGGAGAGGCGTCGTGAGCGTTTTAGTACGGGATGTGCGCACACCGAGAGATATATAGATCATAGCAGGTACAAAGATCTCACGGACACGCCCGGTCTTCCCCGAGCGGCGAGAGGCAGGCATGGAGCGCCAATACTGGCACAATCGGCAATGTTTCGCAAAGCACTGTAAAGTACCTCGCACCCGACCTCACCGATTCGAGGGACGATGTCTTGCACATCGCTATCATATGTGTACAAGTAGCTAAGTGCTCTACGTGCCTGAAGCTTGAAGCCATCATAGCAGGCCATGGCATGCTACGCGGCGGTCAGGAAGGTGTAATTCGTCCTGCAACCTGGCCTGACAGCGTCAGGATGACTGTAGAGCGTCACTTCCAGGCAGTCGCGGTCTACGGGCGTTTACAGCTACTTCCGGCGACTCAAGGCAAGATGCAAGACTACATAAGTTACGTACAGCAAAATGTCAGATACAACACAGCAGACACAACTATACATACAATATCGCAGACGTCATGAAACGCGTGCAGTGTCGTCAGAGTCGGTACGTGCACTCCCTGACGGTGAATCGCTCGTGTCCTCCACCAGGTCCAACGACTCACCGCTCCATCGTGCATTCGTCACCCCAAGGGCGTAGAGAGGGACACGGCCCTCCTGGCACGGCGCCTGCGCAGGCAACGCGATCGCTAGCGCGACCTCCACGCACGCCGGTACACGTTCCGCGACTCGTGAGGGCATACCGTCAGCCTCTCCTGACGGGGGAGCGTCGTCACCTGGGCGATGTCGCGGCCGAAACGGGCGCAGGCTCGCAATTTGCGCGCGAGTGTCCCGCAGTCCAATCCGGAAGGGAAAGAGATACCCGGGCGGTGAGGCGAGGGAGGTAGAGGTGGATGCTGAGGGATGCTGGCCGCTCGCAGCGGTGTGCTGGCCTAAGGTGTAGGGGGATGAAAGGAACCTATCGTCATATACTGGCCTTGCAGCGATGGGCTAGCGCATATATGAGACCAAGTGGTCCGTAGATGACATTAGTCCCATAAACAAATTGAGTAGGCGGGCCGCAACTTGGCCCGCAAGGTGATGCGGAACAACGCACCATAATTTTACCCCAATCACCCTCCTTCGACATCGACCTTGCAGTGGAGATATCCCACAGCTCGGGCTTCTTCCCGAAATCATCTAGCCGCCGCATCCGCACGCCTATGCTCATCAGCAGCGTCGGCGGCGGCCCCAGCTGGGTGTCGTCCCATGGCCACAGCGGGCCGCTGGTCGAATTCCGCGCCTGCATTCGTCTGCTGTTGCGCACGACGTAGCGCCGCATGGAGAACATGACGAGCAATCCTCCAGCGAACAGGCCGATCGCCAGGAAAGCGAGGATGAGCGTCGAGCCACCTGCGCGCAGGAAGGAGCCGCTGCCGCCGGCCGTGCCGGTGGACGACGAGGACGGCGCGGCCGAGGTCGTGCTCGACATGGTGATCGTGGGCCCTGAGTCGTGGTGGGAGAGGGTTCGTTATTGATGCGAGACGGGTGTGCCGTGAAGGCGAATGCTCAGGCTTGAGTTTGTCATGAACTCAGGCGACGCTGGTTGTGAGAAGGCTCGACTGTGCTCTCGGAGTCGGGAGCGTCGCCGGACGCACATATGATCGGAAGCAAAGTATGTACTTGCGGCGTTTGTAGACGCGGGCGGCTGCGCCTGACGTCTACGTCTTGTCTTGCAATGCGCCTTCTCTGCCGACGACGTCCACGATCCATCTCCGGACCCGCCGCCTCTCTCACACCGCCTCTCTCCGTGTCCGAACATGCCAGCATACGTGCGCCCTAGAGGAAGGAAACTCGACGCGTTAAGAGACATCTCCGTCATATACGAACGGCTGGACAGGGTAGACGGTTCCGCGCGATTTGGGTTCGGTAAGTGTGTGCGTCGACTTCATGTCCGATAGCCTTCTCAGCGCACGTCTTCGGCGACTTCCAGGCGAGACCAAGTCTCTCGCGTCCATCTCCGGTCCCATCGAGGTGCGCCCGGCACTCGAGAACCCCTCCCTGGCGACGCTTGATATCCAAATCCGCCCCTTGCCCGGCATCCCCGGGACCGACTCGAAAGCCCTCGCGACTACCCTAAAAGCGATCTTCACGCCCTCCCTGTTCCTCTCGCATCACCCACGGACTCTCATCCAGGTCGTCGGGCAGGCGTTGTGTGGCTCGGAGAGCGGGAGCGGGACTGGGAGCGCCGGGCGGGGCTGGAACGCGAGTCTGGTCGCGAGCTTGGTGAACGCGGCCGCGGCCGCGTTCGTGAATGCCAGCTCGGTGCCGATGCGGGGCGTCGTGTGCGCGGTCGCGGTCGGGAGGCTTGGGTCGGACGCCGGGGGCGGCCTCGTGCTGGACCCAGAGGAGGCGGAGCTGGCGAAACTGGCCGGGAGCGGGTGCTTCGCGTTCTTATTCTCGTCTTTGCTCGCTGGCTCTGGGGCGGCCGCTTCGGAGGTTCCTTCGTGCTCGCTGCTCTGGACGAGCTACACGACTGCTGCGCCGTTTGACCTTGCGGAGCTGGGGCGCGCGCGCGAACTTGCGCAGGAGGGCGCACGGCAGGTCTGGTTGGCGTTGAGGGAGAGCGTTGGGTCGCAAACGGCCGCGACGGTATATAAGACGGAATTAAAGAGCGAGCCGTCATCCCAGCCTGTTTCGATGGACGTAGACGACGCCAAAGTTGAGATATAGTGGTCTGGTGAGTAGTGGTCTCCGTTGCGACTATATGTATCTAATGCTGCTCTACAGCATTTTGCCGGAGTTTTCGTCGTTCGCATCTGTCACGTATCCTCCGCATATAGTCGGCATCTGGTGAACCCCACACCTCACCTCGGTATCCTGTCGTACTGAATTTCGTGTTCTAGCAGGGTATGCTACCATTGGGCTGTGAGCCACGCCAAACTAGGTAACCTTGGGAGTAAGTAGCATGGTGTCGATCTGTTCAGTGAGTGTGTCAGGTTTCTCAGCGCAGCTAGCAGGAAGTCTTAGGTTGTGCGTCATGATCGCCGTAAAACCGATATTCCGATTGCAATATCGTGTAAGGATGACACGGGCACACACAATAGAACTATGTCGTGCTGCTCGAGCGCGCAATGCTGACTCTGGAACAGCGTGGAATGTTTTATATTTCGCTCCCGGTCGGGACACTGCATGACAAGGGTCATTACAAGCTTCCCTTGTTCTTAACTTCTGCGCTCTTTGTTGATTGCTTATTCCTCACAGCCGAGTGCTCGGAATGCTGACACTTGCTATATGCCGGGGGCTTCGATATCGGCACAAGTCACCTACAACGTGCGACATAGTAGAGCCGACTGTTGCTCCGTCCGTACTGTCTTCGCATAGTGACAGCCTTCGCCTCTGCTAGTAATGTAATCTTCTCGATTCACTGGTCCCAATCAAGCTGAACACCCGAGACACAGCCACCCCATTTCGCCATTCGCGTAGGCTGAGTTCCAAGGATGAATCTCCCGCGCTCACATAGCAAACCTTGGGACCCTAGGACCTCTGCTATCGTCAACTTATGTGGCTATTTTCTTGACTTGGACTCAGGTTGAATTTGAATCGCTAACTTCCGCAGAAGACGGATATCCGCTCATCACGGACGGGGAGGAGTGGCGTCCGAGTCACTGTAAGAGTCAGAGCTGGAGAAGCGCGGCTCCGACAACTGACTCCTCTGACGGTTCGCCCATCTGAGCCCAGTCCGGGTCTTCCGAGGCCCGTTCGTTCATACAACGCTACCACATTCCACTAGAGTTACAGCAACGACATCGTTTGAAGGCAACAACCATCTTGTCTTTGCATCAAACACCGGGGCCTTTAGCTTTTTGCACACACCTGCGCTAGCTGCCAGAAATGGCAAGGGCACGCACTGCTGGGCTGCTGGTTTGCGACCAGGTGAGTTCTGATGGATCTCAGCGCTATACGCAGCCGAATTTTGCCGAGGATATTCTGACTCGGTCTCTCATTCCCAGCCACTATATCATCTGCCACGAGACGGTTGCGTACTGCTGTAATCCTCTCGACCAGATAAACCCCCTCCTATCCATTGCAATTCCTCACGTTCCCAAGTCCTATCCACAAACGTGCTCGATAACACTATTGAAGTCGTAGAGGTGAATAGGCTGATTACTGAATCGTTGTCCTGTCATGCTAATCGTCGTAGGCTCTTCGATCCCTACCATAACCGCATTCGCTGCTGCACACGTCCTCCACGTAGGCAGTTACGATGTTCCGCGCCATGGAGATGTCGTCTCGAACCCCTCTCCAAACTTCAAAATGATCGTCGGTATCGTCGATATCGGGGACCTTTCGGTGGACGTCTCTGATTCGGACAGCTCGGTAAGAGAGCTTCCGCCATCTAAACCATTCCCGAAGCTGAATTGGACCTTTTCGGCTTCAGATGCCCTTGCCCCAACGTAGATCAAGCGGCATGATGACGTCGGGTGGTTCTGGACACGGGGGAGGTGGTAGGGGTGGCTCGACTGGCTCCGCGACCGGCACCTCCCCCAGCGAGAGCGACGGGAAATCTCACGGCGTCGCTGTCGATGTCGTTTTACCTGTCGTCTTCGTGGTTGTTTTGGTCGCTGTTGGGTCATTGTTGTTCTGGTGGCTGCTCAGGAGCCTGCGGAGGAGTACAGGGAGGGGGTTGTGGGCATTTTTGATGGGACAGGAACAGAAGCCTCAGCTTGTGGAAGTTAGACTGTGCAGAGGGGGAATAGAAGACGGGAGGTGGGACACTCTTCGGGTGAGCTCTTCTCCTGCCGCCTTCGTCTGCGAGAAGCAATGACGCTAACAACTGTGCGATAGCCTGTGGCCGCAGACCGTGTTCGCACCTCCGAGCAGGCGCGGGGGCATCGGACTGAACATGTCAACAAGGGACATGCTAGCGGCACGGCTACCTCTACCGGATCTAGTGTGCCCGCCAAGAACTCAGGCGCACATCAAGGCGTCATGTCGGGGAGGAAAATTGATTCTTCGAGAGGCAGTGCCCTGGAAGTCAGGGTGGCTGTTTTCATTGCGATGCCTTCTCCATCTCGTTCTGCGCAACGAGGTCAACCCCGGGCCAGTGCGTCGTCGAGTGTTTCGACGGAGGGAGAGGTCTGTATCGGGACGGTTCATACGTGCTTTTGAATGTCTACACCCCGAAATCGTCGTAGTATTAAATGATCGTCTTCTGTTCGTCTACTATGTCTGTCATGTTGAACACGCTAACACTCTCGACTCTAACATTCGTAAGAGTTTACGAGCGACGGGCGGGATACCGTGAGATTCAATCTACTCAATCCGCAATCCAGAGTGAGGTGCTGCCTCTAAGCGCCAATGGACCTTCGCACGCAGTCACCACGATCATCCCCCTTCCATACTACGGTCAGTTGGCGAACACCCTGGCACTATACTCCCAACACAGCATCTGTCTCTCTGCATTCCGCTTTGCCCACGAGACTGAAAAGCCGAAGGTCGACATGGCAGCCTCCTGATTCTAGAAGACGTCGGCTTCTCTATTCCTTGCTCCTCTTGCCGTTTTCCCATGAGACACCCCATGAGACACCGGTAGCAATGCTACGTTGGATATATCCTCCGAACATATTGCGAGGCCGTCGTCCGTCTCAGTGCGCTCGCATATCGCAAGAAGTCTGAAGATGAAGCAAGGAATCATGCTGATATGAATGGTGCGCAGGCTGCAGGCAGAAGGTTGCCCACAATGCGGGCTATGCAAGTCTATCCATCGAGACACATACGTACACTGGCCATCAAGTCACTACTCCTAAATCGGCCCCGGCGAAGTTTCCCGCGAGAGGATTTGGACAGATACCACCGCACTAGCCCCCTTCCTTTCTCATGGTTACATCTACGTTGCCATAGCCTTTTCGATCGAGTTCGGAGCCAGTACAGCGCACGTCATCAGGGAACTCATACCCACTGACAGTTGCTCGGTACCTGGTTGACGAACAGATCTGTTGTGCGAACCATGCGCTCTACCCGCTGCGCTGGTCTCCGGGCGTGGTGTTTTAAGCACAGGCGGCGGTGCATCCACATTTGCCTCTTTCCTTCGTCTGCGTGGAAGTCGTTAGCGACGCCGGCTTGCTTTTTCGTTCTCGGCGTGAGTGCTCTTCGCATGTGGAGGAAGACACAGAATGACAATGGTTCAATCTCTACAGTGCGCCGACCTTAGCGTTTCAGTTGACTTTGACTTCATATTCAGATGGAGGCTCGAGTGAGGAATTTGAAGTGGGTGAGACTGGACTCTCGAGGTGAGGGAGTATATTGTTTGCTTCCGTATAACCACGCTCAGGACAGATCGCGCGTAGCTCACCCGAGCGCTTCAGCATCGTCACCACCACCGGATCCGGCTTCGGATCAAGGTCCGCCCCATAGCGATTTGTATGGGAAAAACGGGAAAGGCAATAACATGAGCAAGGGGCCGGGGCAGGTGCGTCTTCTTGACCGTCGTGTGTCGCCGCTCTCCTCAGCGGTAACGCTCAACTCTTTAGAACGGTGGCGACAATGGAAGCAGCAAGAGCGGCGCACCTGATCCAAGTTCTTCATCCGGACTGCCTCCCTCATGTAGCAACATGAATAAGGGACCGATGAAGGACGGCTGCCAAATTCTCAACGAGAATCAAGGGACCTTGCAGTACAGCGACGGATGGATATTCACCACCAGCGATCCCCAAGGGCTTGTACATACTCTCCACTTCACAAACACAACCGGTTCCTCGGTCTCGCTTATGTTCAACGGTTCGTGCATTCTTCTAATCTTGTGACGCGTCGCTGATGAGATGAATGCACGACAGCCTCTAGCATTGTTGTCTTTGGCCTCGTGCCCCCAGGGCCTTCCCCTCCTTTGGCTTCATACTCGATTGACGGATCGTTGCCCGTTGCTGTGAATCTTGGGGCTACGACGGAATGCATCCCGAACCAGCAGTTGTTCAGTTCTAAACCCCTCTCCGGCCCTGGTCCCCACAACCTGACGATCTTCGTCAATCAGACTTCATCCGAGCAGCCCTACATTCTCGACTACCTCTGGTTGTGTGGTGGAAACAGCAACTCCACGGCGTCGGATGACTCAGGGAATGATCACAAGGCATCTCATGGTCAGTCATCATCGACCGACGGTGTCATCATTGGTAGTGTTCTTGGCAGCGTCGTCCTCCTTCTGGGCATCGCGTTCGGTGTCTGGTTCTACATTCGCCGGAGGAGAAGACGTCTGCAGCAACTTCGGAGGCTTCATATCGCCTCGAGTCCCGTGACGAGCTGGCTGTTCTGGAACAGTCGTAAGTAAATGTCCTGGATATAGAACGCTGCATCGTGCATGCCTGTTGACCCACTTTCGATTCGCTTCGCAGGGAGCAGTGAGAAGAACACCCTGTTCACGTCTACCGAGGACATCATGGCGGACAACCCGACGACATCGAGTATGTCCACCCGAAGCCGGTGGGACACCAGCTACCGGAAAGAGGTTCCTCCTCTAGCTGAGATGCCTCCTCCGCCCGGCGTACGGATGTCATCCGTGTCCAAAGCTACATCTGTATCGCGGTCCCCATCCGCCGTACCACCCGGAATAGTCGAAGACTTGAGAGGCTACCCACGGCGTATGTCACGGACATCAAGCATCGCGCCAGTCTCGTCGACTTTGGTTAACGGCAGCGAGGACACTTCAGAATGAGCTTGGACTTTGCATCTGCTCTTGTTTTTAGCGTTGGATCCTAGTGACGCTGCCCTCTGGTTGAGGTGTTTCTTTCGTCGTGCACCTTTATGTAGAATAGTCGGAGGCCTTCCGAATGCTCCATAGGGACAATACATCTCATATACCGTTAGCCCTGTTGTATCACTGTAGAAATGTATCTCCCAGAAAACCCATCACCGAGCCACTAGAACTTTCTCTTACTTTGAGTGCGTCCATGTGTGCCTTATCTTCAAGTTTCGGCTTCACACCTGCGTCATCGATTGCGCACGGTGGCGGGTGCATGTGTCAGCAAGTCGTGGCGTAGCTACCCCGAGTTCTCTCCTGGAATATTGTTTACCACACGAGACTCGCCGTGGGGAGCCAACGGCATGCCGCGGCGGAGCCCCCAGATCCAGACGTGCTTCCGCTCAAGAGTATATATATCCTGCCGCGGCGATGAGACGATTGGCAACAACGCCAACACCCTGACACCCAAGCGAGTATGCCTGCATCCAAGACCACCAAACTGAACACAGGCGCAGAGATGCCCACTCTTGGGCTGGGTACGTGCTTCATGTCAGATCTTTGCTCTGGGTGACAAGGCTTAAACGTACTGACGTTGTGCGACACGACTATAGGCACCTGGAGATCGAAGCCCGGAGCCGTTGAGAAGGCTGTCGAGCACGCTCTTAAGATAGGCTACCGGCACATCGACACCGCAACAGGATATGGTGCGTACACGTTCGACTCACAAATATCATCCGTTCCATCTTGGGCATCTCCTCGCTTCGCGACCCGCTCTCCATCCCCGAGACTGATGGTTCCTTGGTTGCCTACCAGCGAACGAGAAGGAGGTCGGCTTGGGCTTGAAGGCTTCCGGTGTACCGCGCGAACAGATCTTCCTCACGACGAAGTTGAACAACACCGACCATCGCGATGTGCCCCGTGCGTTGGAGTATTCGCTGACCCAGCTCGATACGCCGTATCTGGACCTGTGGCTGATGCACTGGCCGGCGCCGATGAAGGACGGCGGGCCGGATAAGGAGCACGACTGGCGGGACACCTGGAGGGCGATGGAGAAGGTGTACAAGGAGCACCCAGAGAAGGTGAAGGCGATCGGCGTGTCCAACTTCTCGGTCAAGTATCTCAGGGACCTGCTGAGTTTCGCGACCGTTGTGCCGGCAGTGAATCAGATCGAGAGCCATCCGTACGCAGGGAACACTCATCGTCTCCCAGTTCGGCGAGAAGACTGACTATCTGTTGCAGGTCTTGCATGCAGGAGGACATCGTCGAGGAGTGCAGGAAGCACGGCATCGTCATCACCGCGTACTCGCCGTTGGGATCCGACGGCGCACCACTCACCGAGGACCCTGTGGTGAAGAAGCTCGCGGAGAAGTACAAGGTCTCACCTTCCAACATCCTCATTTCTCTCCAAGCCAACAGGCCAGGGGTCAATGGTGGGTGCTTGCGCCATCTGGCATCGCATCTTCTCGAGATTAATGAGCTCACCATCGTCCCCTACTCTAGTGATCCCGAAGTCCGTCACCCCGAGCCGCATCGAAGAAAACACCAAGATAGTTGATCTCACTGAGGAGGACATCCAGGAGTTGGCCACGATTGAGAAGAAGAACCACATCCGGATATGCAAGCCGTTCTGGACTGGTTGGGGTGCCATCGGTTTCCCTGACCTGGAGGACTCCGAGCAGCAGTGAATTATTGGTCGTAGATGCATGAACAGAAGCCCATGTAGCATATCAAGCGTGTAAAACAGTGCCTTTGAAGCTCAGAGAGACCCCGATGGGGAGATATTTGTCGGACGAGGAGGAGAGTGGGCAAGCCGTACGCGAGCAGTTCGCCGACGGGAATGGCATCCGGAGCGCCGACGGTCGCCCACAGCGACGACGCGCTTTCGTTCCGCCATCCCGACCTCGACCCTCCGAGCCTGTGAACGAGCTGCTTCTAGCTTACTACGCTCTGGTTCTCGAGGGAATGCAATGATCAACGTTCATCTATCTCATTCCACGTTCAATACACGCTAGGCCTCACTATCGTCCAAGACAACCTCCAGACCTCCGGACCTTCAGACCTTCAGACCATCAGACCTTCAGACCATCAGACCTCCACTGTTCCTGCGATCATTGCTGCACCACATACTGCTCAGACATATCAGGACAGAAAATGGTGGACATTCCGAGCTCTCCGAAGACAGCCTTCCTTGCGGTCCCTGCGGTCCTATCGAGACCGCACTCACACAACAGTGAACTGGAGTTCGACTCCGGTATGAACACATCCGCCGCCTGGACTGTCTCCCTAGTCAACCCCGACGGGAGTCCAAGACTGAGCGTGAATGGCAGCACCAATCCGGCAACACCTGCGACTGTGGTCGAAGAGGACATAGACCCCGCGGAAAGCGTCGACGGAAACGACGGCGCACTCGAGGAGGAGATCCGCCCAGCCCGCGCCTTGTATGCCTTCCAAGGCAAGGCAGAGTTCCGAGAGCTCACGCATGTGGAGGCGGGAGACCAGCTCGAGATCGTAAGAGAGGACGTGGGAGAAGGCTGGAGCCTGGCCAGGCTCGCGAGCACCGCGGCGGAGCGCGACGAGGAAGAGGGAGGTCGGAGCGAGATTGGGTTGATACCACGGTCATACTATATCGTGAGTCTCCTGTCGATGTCGCGGCAGTACCGCCTAAGCATCAGATAGTTCACAGCGGATTTCGTCTATTCTGACGGTCTTGAGGTCCCCCCTCACCACACCCGCCAACGGAGCCGCCGCGAAGCTTCCACAGGCTCGATAACCCCCCGCGGAGGATCTCCCCAGCCGGAAGCGAAGCCGCTCGTACCTCAGAACACAGGAGAATGGTTCCCTAGCTTCCGTCGCAGTCTGCTGGGCGGCAAGAGCCTGAACAGGTTCTCGAGCTTCGTCACTACGGGAGCGGAGGAATTCGTCCTTCAGGGAAGCTCGACAGACCCGTCGGCCACCCATCCTCCGCGCGAGCCGACGGAAATCGACGATGACGGGAAGCGAGAGAGTGTGTTGGGCAACCTCGCCGAGGCCGAACGGCACTTCGTCGAGGCGGGCCCGTCGTGGCGTGCAAAGGTCCCTCCTTTCCGCGTCCTCGTCCACTCCCCGAACAAGCGGACGTCGACGTTGTCCGGCGGGTACACGATGTACGCGGTTACCTCCGTCTTCAGCGCGCTCTCCCACTCCCGGCCTGCGTCAGATGCGGACTCAGACGAGAATCCTGAAGCTGCAGAAGAACCCCCCGAGTCCATACGGATCACGGTCCACAGGCGGTTCTCGCACTTTGTTGCGCTGCACACGGCGTTGACGCGGCTGCTCCCTGGGATCGCGCTCCCGCCGCTCCCGGAGAAGCAGTACGCGGGGCGGTTCAGCGACGACTTTGTGGAGGCGAGGCGAGGGGACCTGGAGCGGTACATCAACCGTGTGGCGCGCCATCCTGTTGCTCGGTACGCGGAGGTGCTCACATTCTTCCTTGGTTGTGAGAGCGATACTGTAAGTGCGGCGATGGCTCGGGCGTCGCGCGTCGCGCTGATGAGTTGTGCTATGCTTGTCGCAGGAGTGGAAGAAGCAGCTCCCGTACTATCTATCGCTCCCTCCGAAGGGCCCGTCCTTCTTTGCGAACGTGTATCATCCTGCCTTCAACGTCGATGCGGACGAGGCATCCGAGACGATCGATAGGTTCGTCAATCACACGCGTGCCGTAGGGAAAGGAGTGCAGGGGCTGCGGAACATCTTCGGGAAGGTGCGCGAGGCTCGTGTCGGTTAGTTTTATCCTTCCGCTTCCCCCGCCATCGTGTCGTGTTGACGTCTCCTACGTGACGGCAGAGATGTCGAAGGCTGAGCGTTTGCTATCGTACTCGCTGCTCTCCATGATCACTGCGAAACCTCTCGCGTCGGCGCCTACCACGGGACTTAGTGAGGACGAGGAAGGAGAGCAGAACGCCGCCACGCACGGACATGTGAATGAGGACGGTGCCTGGTGCTGGCGAGAGGGCTGTGAGAGTGAGTGGCGAGCCTGCTTGCCAAGGGCGGTCATCGCTGACTTTCGTTTAGGCTGTCTGAAGCTCACTAAGGCAATGCAGAAAACTTCGGAGACTTTGCAGATTGTGGCGGACCTGTACGACGACCATGTGGGTCCATTCAGCGCGTCCAATATCTCCCCATGCAGCGTGACTGAGGTTGGTATCTGCAGGCCAGGCGGAGACAGCTTGCCACGCATGAGGCGTTCAAGAATGTTGCCCACCCAACCACGCTGTATGCTGTGCGTTGTACTGCTACTTTCACCTTCCTGTGTTTGACATGTGTGGCTTGCGTTTCAGCCTGTCGTAGATACCCATAGATCCACCTTGGCCCGATACCATGATTCAGTAATGGAAGGACGAGTACGCTACCCCATCACTCACGTCGTTGCGTCCCGCATCTTACTGATTCCCGCTCTAGGAAGATGAGGAGATGGCAGCTCGTTGCGAGACCGTTCTGAACACCACCATGGCCGAGATGGATACATACCACACCCAGAAGCTAGAAGACTTCCAGGACCTCGCGAAGGAGCACCTCGACGGCGAGATCGCGCTCTACGAACAAGTGCGTCATAGCCTGTGTTGGGGACGGATCAGGCTGACCGAATTTGATATCGTTCAAAACCACTAGATCCTAAGTCGACTGCGTGCCGCCCGTAAAGCCTTCGATCAGCCGCAGTACGACGAACTTGAACACGGTCCTCGACAGCCTTCCATTTACGAGCGCGAACTCGAGCACCCACGTCTGAATCCTACCCCCTTGTCCCAGCCCTGCCCACATGTTTTCGATTCAGCGCCCATGCGACCCGTCAGTGTTGCTATCCAGGAGGGCGTTGGCATGATCCTGGGCGCGCCTGGCCGGGCGAGCGTCTTTGGCAAGTTCTGGTAATGCCACGCATGCCATGCGGACGTTTGTTCCCTGCACACGATCCTGACGTCTTGATTCCTGTGCTACGGGTTACAGTTTGCCGCCTCACGCGGATGAATTGATTATTTGTATTCATTCTCAATGTCGCAATGTCGCTTTAGACCCCCCGAACGTGTTCCGGCTGCTCTTTTGGGCCTATCCAATCTTCTCTTTGTGCCAGTGCTCCTGCTTAGAAGTGGGAAGTGGGCTGTTCAGGTCTTCTCGCTGGCGTCGTAAAAACCACTCCACACATGAAACAATCCACACCATCATGCAGCTGTGTCTCGTTATCATATTTCCGAGACAGACATGTATCAATTTTCGCGGGAGGACTGTTGGCTTCCCTGAAGTATAAATGTTTCAGATTCAAGAGCACCTCGAAAGCTACCCCTACTCCTCGCAGTATGGCATCCCTCGTATCATCCCCAGGACTTGTGCCCCACCTCCAACAGTACGTGGTAACCTTTTCTCGGCGCGCCTATGTATCACTCACCCCCACGATCATTCTTAGGGAGCTCATCGCGAATTATATCCATGTTTCAGCAACTTGTAAGTCAGATTGGCAAGCCCGCACTGCACCGCTGACGCGAAATGATGCCCGAAATCGTGTAGCGCTTTTGTTGTATGACTCTTTGCTCATGTGCCATAGGGAAGTTCGGCACATGTGGTCTCGTGGTCGTATCGGTACCACCATAATCTACACGGGTGCCCGCTATAGCTCCCTAGTCAATCGACTTGTCGTTGTTCTAGTCTTATCAAGATGGAAAGGACAAAGTTGGGAGGTATGAGTTCTGAATTCGGCTGTGCTATGGCGTTGCGCTTAACTTTCTTGATGGACGTACGTCGAGTTGGAGCTGAGATGAAGCGACGTTTAGGCCGCTCAACAATGTTTATCAAATAGCTGTTCTGCTCTGTTGTGGATCGAAGGTATCTCCGAGGCGTTGACGTTCCTATCCATCGCTAGCGAGTCCTTCGTGTCGCATCGCTATAGTTCAAGTCACTGAAAGTATACCAGCCTTTTCGGCCTTACGCGCGTATGCGCTGAGCGGGAAACGTTCATGGGTGCTCGTAGTCATGATTCTTTTGGGTTCGGTAGCACCTGCTACGGAAGCGGTGCGCACGCACCAAATGAAACAAACACAAGGACATCGCTGACTCCTACTGCGGTTATAGTACCTCACGTTGAAAGCTTTTCCGATATCCGACTCATGTCTAGCTGGATGTGACAGTAGCGTCGGCGTGTCCTTGAGCCTGTATCGTATGTGAGTGCACCAACACTGAAACGAGCGGTCCTAATCTTACACCTCGTTCTATCAACCTGCAGCAGTATGTCCTTAGCTCCCTCCTGATCGCCAATTTGCTCACTCTGAAAGTAGTGGCCTTGGGCGCAAGGGGAACATCCATAGCTGTCGATCTGCTCGCCGTCATAATCATGTTGAAGGAGACGTACTGGGTTAGCGCTTCACGAGCGTCCCATCGTTCACGCTTGAACACAATTCTCTTTCGAGACGGTGAGCCTTCCCGTTACACAGGAAGGGGATGCGCGTGCTGATTTATCTCGCATAGGTTTACTATACTTCTTGTACGTCGGCATCCCGCAGAACATTCTCAACCTAACTACACGCCTATCAATAGATCAATTCTGCTGTTCAATCTACTTGACGTCATATTTTTGGAACTTGCGGTACGCCTACAGTCACGGTCATTGCACGACACTCAACTCAATGATTGTTGTCTGTAGGTCAATGGAGCGCTCGCCGACTTTGTCACGGTGTGCGTGAGCTTTAATCCGTATTCCATTACCCCTTCGCTGATAGCTTATTGCGGGTAAAGACTCAGTGTCATCTTTGCCTCTCGATTTCTACTCGATTTGTGCGAGGTTGCCGAAGGCCATCTGGATGGGCATACGAGGCAACTTTCGACATTGGCTTTGAGCACACAACCGACGAGCAGCTCGGTGGTCTGGAGCATCAGGAGGTAGCTAATGGCGATCAACAACGATAATACGTCGCTTGTACAGTGACGCTACGCCTCTTGGCATTCCTGTTATCTCCAGTCGACAGTTACTACTCAGATCTAGAAAGTAGAGTGCAGTTCTGACTCTATCTATTCCCGAGTCCGTTGATTCTCGCTAAGAATATAGGACGATAGGCTTGAGGATCTGCGAGAAGGCATAGGTTAGCCCAACGGAGGAAGGAGCCAAGAGCGCCCTATCTCACATACCCCTTTCTCACATCAAGCCTGGATGTGTATGAGGGAGGAGGGTCATCTGCTGGAGCGGTCATACTGGATCCAGAGCGTGAGAGGCGAACGGAGAAGGATCTCCCGCATCGAGCTAGCGAACCGAGTACAGTAGCATCGTAGCCTTGCTCCGGCTCGGCTCGGCAGGCGGAGCAGCGGCTGGTGAGCTCCGAAGGGGCATTGGCGTACCATTCGAGTTGTTCCGACCCAAGGAGCCCGAGTACAAGTGGCAAGATTAGGGGTGTTAGATACAATGGTAGGATCTCCAAACGTGGTCGTCGCGGCATTGGCTATCTCAGGTGTGATGCTAAGGACTGGTGGACCCTCTTCAACTGAGAACGGCGGTACTTCGGGATCATTCGAGGCTAAAGAGACTCTTCGATTCATTACTTCACTCCACCGAAATGGAACACTTACTTTTTCGAAGCCTCGTGCTGTTTTTCACACGCCGGATCCAGTACCAGACACCGAACGCGATGCCGAGGAGGATGACGCCGCCCAGAACAGTATCAAGGATGATGATGATACCCTCGGTCAATGACTGGTCACGAGAAGCCTTCAAGTGATCACTCCCTACGTCTTCCGATGCCGTGGAGTTTCAGTTTGTTCCGCACGGCCAGAGGTAGTCGATAATGTGGGGCTGCTCGGATGAAGTCTGATTGACGAAGATCGTCAGGTTGTGGGGACCAGGGCCGGAGAGGGGTTCAGAACTGAACAACTGCTGGTTCGCGATGCATTGTGTCGTGGCCCCAAGATGCACAGCAACGGGCAACGATCCGTCAATCGAGTAGGAAGCCAAAGGAGGGGAAGGCCCTGGGGGCACGAGGCCAAAGACAACAATGCTAGAGGCTGTCGTGCATTCATCTCATCAGCGACGCGTCACAAGATCAGAAGAATGCACGAACCGTTCAACATGAGCGAGAACGAGGCACCGGTTGTGTTCGTGAAGTGGAGAGTATCTGTGAGCCCGTTGGGATCACTGGTGGTAATCCTCCATCCGTCGGTATACTGCAAGGACCCATCATTCTCCATGAGATTTTGACAGCCGTTCTTCACTTTTCTCTTAGTTGGAGTGCTACAGGTAGGAGGCAATCCAGGTGCGTCCTAATCGTCATTGATCAGTCTCACCAGGCATTGTGTCAAGTGATTTGCACTCAAGTCACCTGTACTGCTGCATTAGGCTTCGTCTGACTCTTGAAAACAGGTTCTCCTTTCTGTTTCTCCTCCTCCTGGTTGTATCGAGGACCTAGACGTACGATAGGTTGTGTTGGGAGTTGTGCCGAAGGTGACATGCTTAGCCGCAAGTTTCCGGGCCAGCGAGTTCACTATGGAAGCATTTTGAATGCGAGAAAGACAGATCTCACCTCGAGACCCAATACTTCAATCTGGGTTGTATTTCTCATATATTGAGAGGTACGGGTATTTCACAGGACGCTGCGATAGTGTTGTCTTGAAATGAGCCCAAGGTTATGGGTGACCTGCTAGACACTAGATGACGACTCACCTTAAGGATTGTAAGCCAGCTTGCAAATCCGTCCTTTTGGAGCTCACTAGAGGCTGAGGCGCTATCGGGGGAACAATCTATGTCCTTACACCAACGTCCGGCTAGACTCAGTCCAGTAAATAGCACTCATGCTTGTTGTAACTAGGTGACAGATCTGTTCGTTCGAAGGCGGCACAACACAGGTACAGCCCGAAGCAAGATATTTTGGTCGAGCCTCATAATCTAGCATCTGTGCGCCCTACTCCGTACAAGCTCTTCACCTTGACTTACTATGATGCCAATACTTCCTGCCTGACATTCTGTTGGTCCAGAGCCTGTAGAACAGAACAGACAATGTTCCATAGCTACTCGTGAACTGCTGCGAAGCTCGTTGATCATCCCCGATTCAGATTGCTATCTGCATCTATCAAACAGTTTGTAGAACCCTGATCGAGCGAAAACCTCGATAGAACCCAGTCGACAGCAAGGATTACAGGCTTCAACATAAATAACCGATATGCTCATACCTCGTGTTGGACGAGACCTCTCATACGAAGAGCACCTCAGAGATGCGTCTCGTTTTGCACGAATACAGGCCTATAACGGGAGGATGTTGGGAATGGGGCCGACAGGCACGATGCCGTAGGGATTGAGATGGCCGATAGAATAGTAGCCGCCTTTGATGTGATCGAAGTTACATGTCTCCGAGAACGCGGGGTTGTTCCAGTAGAGTTTGCGAAGCCAGCTTCAGATGGTTGTGCGTCAGTAAAAGATAGTGCATGATGAGGAGCACTATTGAGCCGTGAACTCACAGGTGGATCGCAGGGTAACCATCACGGATCGTGCGAAGGTTACACTTGAAGTGCGCGTAGTAAGCGACGTCAAACCGTATCTGAAGTTTATTCTCGTCAGCGGACTCCCGTGTGGAGGCAATGGAGGGATACTTACAATCGTGACGAACAGCCGGACGTCCGCTTCCGTCAGCTGGTCGCCGACCAGGTAGTCCTTTGCTGCGAGGATCTTCTCAAGCCGGTCAAGTGACTCAAAAAGCGGAAGCACTGCGTCTTCGTAGGCCTTCTGGGTCGAAGCGAAACCAGCCCTGTAAACTCCGTCTATGCATGCCTCCGTTAGTCTCACGGTGTTGGCGTACTCAGGTTTTACGCCTGCTTACTGTTTACGGTGTTGTACACCCAGTCGTTGATCTCGTCAATCTCCTGGCGGAGATGCTCTGGATAGAGGTCCAGTTCGGCCTTATCGGCAGGCAGAACATCATTGAAGGCGGTGTTCAGAAAGCGAATAATCTCCGAGCTTTCGTTGTTGACGATGGTTTCCGTCTTCTTATCCCAGAGTACGGGGACGGTGAATCTAGATTGATTATGGATATGGGGACAGTCAATCTCGAGCAGGGTGGTATGCACCTTCCGCTGTAGTTGGGGTCCGCCCTATAGTATATATCCTTGATATGCGAGGCCCCGTACAGCGGATCGTTGTCGGCGCCCGGGAAAGGGTCCGCCTTTGCGAACGGCCAACTCTCTGGGCCGAAATGAGGCGACACGACGGTCACACCTGCTCAGAAAAGGTTAGCGACCCCGCTGGGTTATTACACTCATAGTACCGGCGCACCTATAAATTCTTCCAGGCCTTTGAGCTTCCGAACTATCAGTGTGCGCGTAGCCCATGCTGCGGTATGCGGCGTCAGCCTCCGGCAGGTGGACTTGGACCGATGACAGAAATCTGAGCGACCCACGGCAGCTGTAAGCGACATAGAGATGGTAGCGACCTTATAATGTGTACCAAGTTAGATTTGAGCTGATTCCAATGCAGGAGAATCAGGACTAGGACCTTTCTCAGGCTCGAATTTTCCGCCCTTCTCGATGGAGCTCCTGAACACCGACGGCTTGCGATCGAAGGTTCCGTCTGCCTTGCGCGAGCTAGCGATGAGATCGATTGGTTTCGTCTGTTGAGAGCTCATGTTGCTTCTTCGGATGAGATCAATCAAGGAAAGCAATGGACTGTTGCCCGATCTCGTACGCCCAGAGAGGGATGATATAGCTTTCGAGGTCTACTAAGCACGTAAGCACGTTTACGAAGGAACAGTAATCATGCCCAATAGCGCCACATACAGCGATCCCTTGCGATCCTTCGATAACACAAACGCAAACCTTCCAGTCAGCAATCCATTGCTCCTTGGCGTCCGGAATCGAGACAAGCGAACATGGTCAGTATGTGATGCCAATTGTGCGTGCCATAAATCAGCGACTCAACAAGTTCAAGCTTCAGTGTCACCATGTGACTGGATGCCATGGGAGGCAGTCTAACAGTATGTTGACAATCCCCCTATGCCTGTGCTCATGCAGCATTGCTGTTACCTAGAAAAACAGTCATTGGAGAACGATTGCACGGCAGGAGTCGGGTGCATGAAGTAAGGAGTCAGCACCGTGCTGTTAGCCGTGACTTTCCCCGATAGCATCGCAAGAATTCCTCACCAAAATTGACCACAAGAGTCTTTCATATACTCCTGCAACGAACTTCTGCTCGACTTCGGGTGTTGTAAGCTATACAAACCTAAATTTGCAAGTGACATCAAGTACGGGCACGAAGATGTGCCGAAGCCAAGTTGTTCCAAGATAGGCGTCTATACCTTCACACGTGGCAATCGACGGGAGTGCACCTGTAGCGCCCGGCGTTCGTTCGCTCCCGCTCCATCCCGCCGTACCTACTCCCATCATCCTCTCGTATATCATCCATCTGATCCAGTTCCTCTTGCTTACTTACTTCCACTCCTTGCTTGCTCATTCAAATCACCTGCACCATGTGTCCACTGACTGTCATTACTCATGGATTCGACTTCTCGGTAATCCCTGGTACTCGAGCGTCTCGTACGTATCATATATATATACCCTACCACACTACTACTGTTTGTTATTTAGCGTACTCTAGGCAGAATCAAGAGTCTTTGAACCTGTCTTGACCCACCGCTCTCGTGTCGCGTGTCTCTTTCCTAATCCGGAATCGCCCACGCGACAGCACCCTGACAACTTCCAAGGCGACGGCTACGTCGTCGATCGCTATGTGTGCTTTGCAGCCAGCTTTCCCTCGAAGACTTTTCAAGTCACCGTTTTAAGCTCGACAAATTACAGCTCTCAAGTATGCCAATTCTTCTGGGACAAACATTCGCGCACTTGCAACTCACCGCCTTTTCTCATGATTTGCCACAATTTACCATCATCCCCGAAGCTTGCCACAAATCGACCCATGTCACCAGTCTTTTTTCAATTGGAACTTGGCGAACGTTACCACAGCATACCAGGCATCAGGCCAGCCAATCGGTAGCTTCTACCGCGGCAAGATGAGTTGAACGGCGGCGAAACAGAGCAAGGTCCAACATTGACGACAGAAACAGATCATTCTCGTCATCCGTCAGAATGGAGTAAAGGACGGTATGTGGCTGAAAATTGTGAGTCTTGGTTATGTCCGGTAATTACGGCAAAACCGGGGTATAAGGTGGTAAGGTTGGGCATCTGCGGTAACACGAGGTAAGCGCCATCCAGAAAGCTCAGGTCGTCGCCACTCATCCCTAGTCCGATGCCCTCCTATCAGAAGTCGCTGAATGTTTCTCCATTGATCGTATATTTTGCACCGGGTGTGTCTACTAAGATCGTCGCTGTATCAAAAGCTGACCTTGCTGGTCCTAAGTGCTCTCGCCAGCAATGTGCGGGCTGCTCTTACAAAGGCTCATGGCAACTAATAACACTTGGATATCGGATTGATAGCACGCCAGTCAATCATCGCTCTTCAGCCCTCGAGACTGTTGCGCACATGGTCAGTCTTTATCTATATCAAGCAAGGTGGGTTATGTCTCATGGCACGCATCCGGTGAATCCTCTCAACGAGCAATGCGATTATGATGGTTGCATTACGTGTGCTAACTAATACCGTGAATGTTCAGCGGGCCCCCAGGCACTTGTGCGAGAACTATTCGCTCAGTGTCTCCATTTCACCTCTCGGAGCGTGCAATATAACAGTTCAAGTGTCAGAGTCATCATTGTCATGCCGGCACGCGCAATTGACATCCATCGACACGCCTCAACTGTTTCTCTGACAGAACACTGTTGCCCTGTGATCCGGTACGAAAGCGTCCGTACTTCTACAGTTCAGTAATAGCTGATCTTGCAAGTACTCCGCCAAATTTCGACTCCTTCGCACCCGCCTTGTCATCTCAGTTCGGCGATGTGCTCCAATAACGAAGCTCGTTTCAACGAATCGTCGCAATCACGCGCGTATTCCGTCCTCGTGCTTAGGTACGCGACAACTATTCCCGTTACGCAGATGGTTCGCGGGAGATGGCCGTCGTATACCTCGCGAAGCTTCGGGCAAGTTGTGATACTTCGGATCCTGAATCAAGGCTGCAGATTTTGCCCCAACCCTTGCTGTTCGGGCACTTGGGGTCTCCGCGACTCGGATCCGGGCCGGACATCCCCCAGCTCAACACGTTTCGTTCCAATCAAGTTTATTGCATTTCTGTCACAGACTCTGCACTTTTCTGTGAGTATGACTTGCCAAGGATCTCCGAAGCCCCGGGCTGTGAATCTGACCTCTCGGCGATTGCATACCTTCCGAAATTCGCACCAGTGGCGTGGGGTTAACTTTGTGGTCGCATAGTGCGCCTCGCTCCTCGCTCATCGACAGCAGGCATAGTGCTGCCGCTCAGGACGGCGGACTCAATGGAGAACTTCCGAAACCTCATCTACTGCTGCTTCCGAGGTGATTGCCTTTGCATCTTCTCTAGTGGATATTTCTGGCCTCTGAGCGAGCGCAGTACCCTGCTAATGATGGTTAAATTGCGAAGCTTGGTGCGCTCCTCATTTTGCTTTTGCAGTTGGGCTGAAGTTCAACAAATGCAGTCTTGTTTGCCTTGCGTCTAGCGTATGGTGCCAGCGTACTCACTGTATCGTAGTCCCACCGACCTCGAGTATACCGATAGCCCCCGAAGTGAATCTGGATCTCGCGCAAGACTCCGGTCTACGGCGTGCTTCCCGTGGGTCAGCGTCTTCGCACGATAATGTCATCCATCGATGGTTCGGTCCGATCTCACATCCTTTGCAGTTCGTCCTTTGAAGCAACAATGTGGTGGTCTAAGGGCAGCGCTCTGCCACATTACTTACCGACTGTCGCAATACAAGCTCCGATCGATGTTGCTAGGGGGCATCTATGCTGTAGACTCCAGATAATACTGGGTCTGCTGATAGAAGTACGCTTTAAGACCCGGCCCCGTGCGCGCCGCACAGGCATACACCGCTCGGCAGGAAAAGCGTGTTACGTCAATGCGCAGGACCCGCCAGCATTGAATGGCCACCACTCACATGCTGGTATCCCACTGCTAGCGCCACCGAGGTATTTGTGCGCCTCCGACATTGCACGACAGGCCTTCTCAACCCGACTCCCTCCCTATGGGCCCTACAAGCCATACCCTCTCGGTCATGCTCGCTAGTTGGTGAAAACTGGCACCCTGTACCGGCTCGCGGGTCCGCTGCACCGTGCATTTGTAGATGGCAAGGGGCCTTCCCGTCGCGAACCCAGGGGGGACCACGACCGGCTCGTCGCAGTTGGACACGCTTCTACAGCTAGGGCTTCTTCCTATCTTCGGCGTCGTTGTGGCGTTCTCGTGGAATGCCAGGATGCCCGCGGCTTGAACGATCCGGGCTGCTAGTCTGAGGACCCGCCAGCGTCCACTCATCAACAGCGCCCCTACGCCGTTGACGGTTCTTTCGCTACGCCGTTAGCGTCTGTACTCGAGAGCGTGCAAGCCAACTTTTGTCGTGGGCTCACTATCACGAGTCCGCTTGCACTTGTGCCTCTTGCCTCGTGCTCCAATTCTGAACTCTAAACCCTCCTACGCCGCCGAATTCCTGGTCTGTTTCCCCTGGGCTCCACCCTTCCCTTCTATTATATTTCTGTTGCTCTGGCAATATTAGCTCCTTCTGAAACCGACAGGTCCGACGACGTCTTCGGCAGCCTCGTCATCGTACTGAGACTCCACGCGAACGCGTCTATGATGAGATTCCAGCTTGCTATGTCCGTCGATCCATGCGAACAACGAAATGGAGTTGTGCTTCGGCTCCGTGCTGGTTCTACCTGCGTTTCGCAAAGCTCTGTGCCTGTCGTGTGCCATGTTCAATATAGTCTATATTTTGCGGTTGTATTGAAGGGCGCACTCTAGTTAGTACATACTGCGGCGGAGACTACGGTGTGAGATGCTCCTATTGACTGACTTGAATGCAAGGTCAATATAGCGCCTCTCCTACCCCAACGGTGCCCCAATCATGTTTCCCGCGACAATTTCCGCACGCAGAGCTTGGGGGTATCCAGATAAGCGTGCGCAAACGTGCGCGGGGGCGGGGTATGTGGAGGCGCTCTGGAGAGCCGCGCTGCCAATCCCTGTCTTCCACTGCCGTCACCGGTGTCAGATGGAAGAGTACGAGTGGGACTCCGTGCTAGGGCATAGGGTTCCCGGTTTGCCTCGTCGCTTCTGCGGCCTGGAGCTGCAGGCATCAATCTATTCTGTGACCAGTGCGTCAAGTAGAGGACACGATACACGCCATAGCGTGCTTGCGAAGCGATCAGAACACTGGCAGCGGTACCCGGGACGCTCAAATGCTGCAGAGAACGCCTCGGTGATTGCAATGTCGGCCCCTTGCACGGAACGCTCGCTCAGGTGTCGTGTCTCTCATAGACAAGCGACCCGACTCAGGTTTTGGGTAGTTTCACTTCCATACCCGTCAGTGATAGCTACATGACATCAGGCACGGTAATAAGACAAGAGAAAGCAGTAGTAGCCAGGGCTTGCTCGTTCTATGCGCCCATCGCGTGCATCGTGATTGCGTCTTGCCCCTCTTGAACAGTCCAGGAAGTGGATCGGCCAAGATGCCGAGTCGAATCGTTGTCGGATCTCGTTGAGCAGATTAGCAGACGGAATGATTCCGGACCGGAGACTCACGCGGAGGAAGACGTCTCTATCTGTGGCCTCTCGAGCGTTCGTCAAAACTTTCGTCAAGTTGGTCCTGCCACGAGGCACATGGCTCGTCCTAGCGTGTGCAAAACATTCATCTTGCGCATCTCGGGCTCGGACCTCAACAGTGACAGTGTACACGTATAACGGCGACGTCTGATCTCGCTCTGATAGCACCGGGATCTTGCCCGGAAGTGAAGGCCTAATGTGCTCGAGTGTCGCTTGCGCAAGCGCCAACCAAAGCTGCAAGGTTTCATGGGTACGGTTGAGGCCATATCGCTATACGTATTGCAGAGCGCGCGGCCCGAGAGAGCGCCGCAAGACTGGGGTGCTTCCTGGACGCCTCGGAGCTGAAACTCAACCCACTTCGTCTGAGACTGCGAGACCATGAAGCGGAGACATCGCACACTTCCCCCACGCACCACCGACTCCACGAGAAGCCAAGGATATCCCTCACCGAGCACCTGAACGTGTACTAGCGCAGGAAGGCGCTCTGGCACTGGAACCTTTACTGAATGCAAAACTCAAAGCTCGCACCGCTCTCCGGTCACTGGAGTTCGTTCGAGTTCGCAATCGCAGAATCCTGCGTAGCGTCTGCCTTTCGGGAGCAAACGATGAAGGGTGCCGAGTAGTATTGGGACTCAGACGGGGCGTGGCTGGCGTTCTTCTGCGGTTAGACCTCGGGACTAGGAGCCGCGGTGTAGCCCGTAACTATATGACGACACCCCTATGCGGAACGCGCGTCCATATAGCGTACGAATATGACCGCGCTGCTATCACTAGAGCCCCGTGCGGATCAAAATAACAATGACATTCTGTGTATGCTGTTGTGACAGACCTTAACACAAGTGATCGTAGATGGCCCGGGTGGAACTTCAGGTTCCGCCAGTACCATTGTGATACGGCAAATCGTGGCATGCGCAGCGGACCAAAGTTCTGCAGATGGTAGCCACCCAATACATATTGACTGAGGCTTCTCGCACCGTCCGGTGCGGATTCCCTGCACCGCCTCGTTGCGATCTCGCACGAAGTGGAAGGCATCCCGCAACACACTGGCGAAGTAGAACATGTTAGCAGTAAGGGGCTAGACACCCACGCATGTCATGTCCGGGCACCGAGACATTTTTAGGCAGCCTCAAGCATCCAAGATCGGAGGGGAACGCAATATCTCGGGATAGGACTTCGGGAGAAGTACCAGCATGTCGCTGGTTTGCATAGCCAAGACACAAGGGGAAAATACATACAACGTGGTGGTCGCAAACGGGGGGCCGGAAGTCCTCGGAAGTCGGTCGGAGTGGAGAGGCATGATGCAAGCAAAGCCTCCGTAACGCCTATTTCGAGTTCATTATTGACTGGGTCGTAACATCCCAGCGCAATCGCCAAAGCAAATCGCCAACACTTACTAATAAGTCGCCGAGCCGGTCGAAGCCCCCGCGCCGTCTCCTGGGACGCAGTGGACGATGTGAACGTCGAGCAGAGAGTTGCAGCCCAAGCGCCTAAAGCGGAGCCGACCGCCCGACATTCCGGAATGGCCGGCTCTCCCGTCCCGGACATAGCGGCGGTTGGTAGGGATTATTGCTATTTACGGACAATCTCGCACCGAGCCCGGGATGGGCGCTCCCGAGAGCCGAGACAACGTGGGAGGGCCGTCGGGGCATTCGGTCGGCTGGGTCTGAAATACCTCGTCTTCGCAGCGTACGTATGGTATGTGCGCAGGGGGAGACTCGTCGAAGACGCACGTCGATCGTTCGGGTGCGCGGACCATTCGCATACGAAGGTATGGAGCCTATCGCACGGCACAGAACAGGGGGAGGGATTCGAAGGGCGAACACTGTGCGGCGTACGGGAAGAACTGTCCGCGTCGGATTGCGTCTGCGGGGAGCTGCTATGAATACGTACGTACCATTCCGTCGTTTAGCGTTCACGGCATTGATGAGCCAGGGGCCATCGAGACGCGTCTGTTTAGATGCCTATGGCATGTCGCGAGCCGGACACGCCGATAGTGCGTAAGTACGCAGCGGACGTACGTCTAAGCGGCCTGTAGCGCCCCGCCCGACCGCAGGTGCGCTTGATAGAAGCCTCATATGCGCGTACGCCGCACGGAAACCGGGTCGGGCCTCGAGAATGAGCTCACCGTACATTGGAGGTATGCGTACGTACGCACCGTGTACCGAACGCACTTGAGGAAATCGACAATGACGGAGGACCGTACGTGGGACGCCGACGATGTCATAGTGCCAATTTGCCTTGCGCGTACGCGTACGCATCTGGAAAGCTGCCTTCCCCGAGGCGTGGGGGATGTGGATAGTCGAGAGGTGGAGTCGCTACGGGGGCTTCGCAGAGGGTAAGTAGTCCGTATATGCCAATCGTAGTGCGCAAAACGGGGCCCGATTTCCAGCGATTCCCCGGCGAAGGACGCCATAAACATCCAACTGACTACATCTGAATCACAAGCCCATGCGTCAGTTTCAGAGAGGGCGAGCCACAGCACGATTGCCATGAGGAAGGTGCCTCCCCACAGAACCTCCATGAGAGTCCGACCGTCCACGGCATATGACGTGTAGTACGTACTCGCCCGCCTGACCTTCTGACCTCCCCGACCGCCGCGTGCGCACGCGCATCATTAGAAGCCTAAACACCAAGCAGCGACGCCAGAGACCGTGCGAGTGATGGAGACAGGCGAGGGCCAATTCTTCCCGATTCACCGACCGTGGTTGTCCATGTGCATTCGGAATGACCATTACTTCAAGTTGACGGAGAACGCAGAGGGGACTACGTGTGCGTGTCCAGGGCCCTCGCCATCATGAAGACCGAAGCTGAGCGCGGTCGTGGAACATATCCGGCGTGGGTAAGTCCCAGGTGGTCGTCAGTCTGGTGCGGTCAGGCGAACCGCAAAGGAGTGGTCTACAATGCATGTCAGTACCAGTAAGAGGTAAGAGACGCACACACCAGCGAATTCAGGGGACTTCGCGCTTGCGAAGGTCAGGGCGAGTTGGGATATCACGCGGACGCGTTTATAACGTAAGTGAAGCATAAGATGCATACGAGCTAAGCAGTACGCCAGAGGGAGAGTCAAGGGGAAAAGGGGGACGAAGTACCAGGGCAATAAGGGTGCTTCGCGCAGTCGAAGTCTTCGTACATGTCAGTGCACTCCTGCTGGTGGTCGAGTCTCCAGGCGCTTGCAATGGCACATTATTGAGATGAGATGGTATGCAAACGCCGGGAACCAACCGAAGTGGTTCACATGCGCGGTATATTCAAAAATGTATGTGTGTACTATGCAGGGCGGGATGCTAGAGGATCGATGGCAAAATCGGAGGGGATAGATAGGATGTAAACACACAGAGCAATGCGATAGGCAAAAAAGCGACCAGGTATGCTAGCTACATAGATGGCATCCGAGCCTCGAGCCCGACGACGCCGCAGCATGAACGATTCGGATACGCGCGAGACATAGGGGCACGCGGGCGGACCAGGGGCCCAATAGTAGGGGTGGGGCAGAAGGTAATGGGGTAACCTGGAGCGGGACACTGGAGCGCAAGCGGCAAGCGGCGAGCAGCGGGACCTATGCGAAGTAGAGTAAAGTAGGGATACATGAAGGGGAGACCTGGTAGTACACATGTGGTTGCACGGGCACGGGCGCGAAGCGTGGAGGGCCATCAAATGACGCGGTGCCATGCGAGATGCGAGAAGGAAGACGTGGACACGGGGCCGCGAGAGAGAAGGGGAAGCGCGAGCATGGGAGCGCAGAAGCGGGCAGCCGGACACAAGATGCGAGAACGCAAGATAGCGTGCAGAAGCGGGGAGGGGGAGGGGATGGTAGGAGTGGGGAGCGATGACGCGCGGGCGCCACACCGCGCGCGCGAGCTGAGGAGTGTACTTTTCTAAACCGTGTTCGACCCCAGAACATCCGCGCCGAGAGTAGATGGAGAGAAATCAATAGAACTCGGGCGCGCGTAGGGCTCGACGCGTCGTCATCGCTCGTCGTGAGGTAGTATGGGCGTGAGGAGGAGGAAGGACATCGTAGGCGGGAACGGTCTCAGGCACAGGAGTGGAGAGTCTACAGTCATTGCGAGCCGACCATGACCTTGAGGACCATGTTGCCCTCGTCGTCGCGGCCGCGCTGGAGGAGCTCGAACGCGCGGGCGGTGTCCTCGAGCGCGAAGCGGTGCGTGATGATCTTCTCGATGTTCGGCAGCTTGCCCGACGCGAGCAGCTGCAGCGCGGTCGGGTACGTGTGCGCGTACCGGAAGCTCCCGTGGATGTCGACCTCGCGCGTCGCGGCAGCCGACAAGGGCAGAGTGACGTTGCGCGAGCCCATGCCGACGAGCATGACCTTGCCCCCAGTGACGGCGGCATGGATGGACATCTGGATGCAGGGCTCGGCCCCAGTGCACTCGAAGACGAGGTCAAACCCGTCGGGCATGTTGAACTCGGTGAGCGCGGCGGAGATGTTCTCCTTGGCGCGACGGAGGGCCTCGTCGGTGGTCTTGGCCTTGTCGGCGAAGGGGAGGCAGTGGACCTGCTCTGCGAAACCGTGCTTGAGAGCAAAGTCGAGGCGGGTCTGGTTGATGTCGATCGCGACGACGCGGGAGGCCCCGTAGGACTTTGCAAGGGCGCATGCGAGGAGACCGATGGCGCCAACGCCAAAGACGAGGACGGATTGTCGTGAGCCGGGCGTCAGTTCTGCACGGCGGGCGGCGTGGAGGAGGACGGAGAGGGGCTCGGCGAGGGCTGCTTGCTCGAAGGTGCAGTTATCGGGTAGTCTGTGGGGAGACGCGCAGAAAAGAGGTAAGCGAAGATTCTCTCAACACGTGTTCGGGTCGGGAGAAGAGGGGGTGTGGGATTTGGATGCGGGGGCGATACGAAGAGCTCGGGGTCGGACTCGGAACGGGGAAGTAGTACTCACGGGTGGAGGACGTGGGCGGGGTGGTTCATCCGCTCCTGGAGCGTGCCGTCTGAGTGGGGGAAGGTCTTGGCGGAAGAGCAGAAGCGCATGTTCTTGCAGAGGTTGTAGCGGCCCTTGGCGCAGTAGGAGCAGTTGTTGCACATGATGCCTGCCTCGATCGCTACTCGCTGGCCAGGGACGAGGTTCTTGACACCGGGGCCGACAGCGGTGACGATACCAGCTGCTTCATGGCCAAGGACGAGGGGTGCTTGTACGACGAAGTCGCCGTTACGTCCGTGGGCGTAGTAGTGCACTAGAAGGATAGTTGATGAGATACGCGAGAAGTAGCGGATGGAGATGAGCAAGAGACTTACAGTCGCTGCCGCACAGGCCAGTGGCCATTACAGCAACCTGAGCCTGGCCTTGGTGTGGGGGCCAGAGGGTGCGCTCCTCGAAGCGCATGTCCTTGGCACCGTGGAGGACGGCTGCGTGCTGGGTTGGGAGGGCGATGGGGGACATTGTGAGCGATGGAGAGGATGTGAGCGGCGAAGGGGCGTCTTACGGAAAAGCCATGGACAGAAGCGGGAGACTTTATAGTGTAAACGACGGAGTCTCGTGAGGAGGGCGTTCTGAGCTGGACCGTGGCCCTTGCCGTGGCTTGCGCCTGTGCCCCTCCCCGGTCCGACCGCCCGCTGCGAAGCCACCTGCCTGATCGACTCTGCTTATGTCAGCGAGGACCCTGAGGCCGGGTTCTCGCATCCATCCGAGTCCCAGCGCTAGTCAGACTCGGACTCGGACTGCAGCCAGCACCTCTCTCGCCCTCCTCGCCCTCCCCCTCCTCGTGCACTCGCCAGCCTCCCACCGCTGCGCCCCGTTCCCTCCAGCCCTTTTTGCCCTGATCTTCCGCATACATCCATTTGTCCGCCGCCACTGCCTAATCCAGCCAGCAATTTACATCACCCGGGCCTCGCGCCGGTCTTCCGATCCGGGGAAATAGCCGGTTTACCCCAGACCCGTCTCAACTACCACTTTCGGTCGTCTCCTCCTCCCATTCCCGCCAGCGGCCACACATTTAAGCTCCCCCGGCCCTGCCATGTTCTCCAGCAGGTTTCTGACTCCATCGCAGACGGAGCCGTCGGAATCGCGCACGCATACAACGTAAACATCCTCCAGTAACACGCAATCCTCATGGACCCGACCCCAACCGTGCCCGCACCGCAGCTCTTCTCTCTCGCGGGGCAAAACGTGCTGATCACAGGGGCCACCCGCGGTACGTTCATTCTCCAGATCGCCCCATTTGAAAACCTTCCCTACGCCTCGCCTATCCCCCACACTTTGGGCCCGCAGCTCACCCAGCTTTTCCTTATCTTAACAGGCATCGGTGCTGCTTGTGCGGTTGCTCTCGCTGAGGCCGGAGCGAATATATGTCTTGTTCGCCGTCCCAACTCCACCAACGATGAAACGTCCGATGCGGTCGCTGCCACAGGCCGAACGGTCAAAACTGTGGACTGCGACCTGGCAGATCTTGACGCCGTGAAAGGCCTCTTCCAGAGGGCGCTCGACCTCATGGGAGGAGAGATCCATGTCCTCGTCAATTGCGCTGGAATACAGCGGAGATCCCCGGCCGTCCAATTTGCCGAATCCGACTGGGATGATGTGCGTATCCTAACTTCTTGCTCTAAATTCTGCCTCCCGTACCTTTCGGTATCTTTCCTCTCGTGTTATGTCATTTCATTTTGCTTTTTGACTTGTTCTGTGACTTGAGCTCTTTACGCGGCTGCTTACTGACCGCCGCTGCTCTCCGTTTCTTTTCCACGGATTCTCCCAACCCGTTCCCTTTTCCGTCGACCGCACATCATCTATCGTCGTCCCTCGCACTCCTCCCAACCGACGCCTTGGCACCCACCCCCCTGCTTATCGGTCTCCCTTCTCTCCCTCCTTCCCAACCTACGCGAACCCAAATCGTCTCTCTCCGTGGCCACGGTCCTTCCCTGCACGTGTATCCGCCCGTGCTGGGAATGACGCCTCCAATTCATGTGTCCATCTTTGGATACGTCACCTGCCACACTCAACTCCCTCTCGCTTGTCCGCCGGTCTGGCGCATGAACATGGATGGCTATACGATTTGGTTTGACAAACCTGCGTTCCCCATGCTCTCTCTTATCGTCGCTTCTTTTTCTTATGGCGTGCTCTTGATGATTCTCGACGGTCCCTTGGGGTCATCACATCCCGCTGGACCGCCTCCCTCTCACTCGCATATCGCCGGACGCTTTTGCGCATGCTCGTCGTTGCCTATCGTGCCCCATCTCCTCGAAATCTCTACGACCCCGCCTGCGCCCAACCTGATCCACACCGCTCGCCGCCCGCCCGTACACTGTGTGCTCCCGCTCATCGCTACGTCCTACACGAATTCCGGACTATCTGCACTCGTCATGCGCCCTGCGTACTGAATACTGACACCTGGCGACATACGCCTTCCACGTCATTTCGATACCGCGCGTCACTCCATGGCGTTGCCTTGTCCTCGCCGTCGCTCTCTCGCGCGCAATCGCTCTGCGCTTCGCTGATCACTGATCGCGGATCGGGCCAATATGCTGCATCCCCGTCCGTGCGCGCGCGCGACTTCTCGCTGTGGGGCTGTGGCCTCGCCTCGTTCTCGGCCGCGCACGTTGCGTCATCGGATCTTCTGCGTCTGCCTCCTCGTCCGCTACGTGCGACCGGATTCGGTGATGCTCCCGATCGTCGCCATTGCAAACTCTGTGCGGGCGTTCGTACGTACGCCAACGCTTGCGCACCAAATGCGGACGTGATCTGTGGCCTCGGAACTCCCTCGGGCGCATCCGAATTATCGCCGCGCTATGTGCCGCATCTGCCGTGTCCTATCTCTCTGGACGCGCTGCGACGCGTGCATGGGAAACGCTGGCCTTTACATTCATTTGTTCACTTGGCCCCATTCATTCTGCGCAATCACGTTCATGTTCACGTTTCGCCGCTGCCTCGGACGTGGATGTGCGCACTTGCGATCGTCCGCATGCGGTTTCTCCGGCCACACGTCTTGCTCTGTCTCTCGTTGCGTCGTTTGTGCCTCCTCTCCATGACCCCATACTTTCGTACCCCATTACTCCTTACGTCTGCGTTTGCACGCGTTGTTGTCCCTGTCTCGTCGTATTGCTCGCTCACCCTCCACGCATCATGTTGCACGCGCAACTAACAACAGGTCCTCAACGTGAACCTCAAGTCCGTATGGCTCCTCTCGCAGTCTGCGGGCCAGCACATGGTCCCGCGTCGCCGCGGGAAGATCATTAACTTCTGCTCCCTCCTGACTTTCCAGGTACGCCAGCTTTCTCGCTCTCGCTCCCTCTCTTGATTGTGTCTGCGCAACATGCTTCAGCCGTCACTGACAATAACCCCTTTTGTTCTCGTCACCCCTCCACGATTCGCTACTCTTCCTCCTCGGACGCATTCGACCTGACGACACAATTGCAGGGCGGGTTCACCGTGCCTGCGTACGCGTCCGCCAAGGGCGCTCTCGGCCAGCTGACCAAGGCCCTCAGTAACGAGTGGAGCAAGGACAACGTCCAGGTCAACGGGATCGCCCCCGGCTACATCGCCACCGACATGTGAGCCCCCATTCTCCTCACCTCAATCTCAATTCCCCTGTACCTGCCCCACTTGCCCGCATTTTGTTCACGATCTGCTGCGATGGCGCATGAGCGCTACATTTTGCCTTTTGTCGTTGGGCGTGACGTCTCCAGGCGTGCGGTAGCCTTCAGGCTGGTATCGGCGGGATGCTTCTTCCCATGCTGCCTCCCACCGTTTCCATGGGCGCACGAACACACACACACACCGCATCACCGTTCCGTCGCGCCGTCCTGCCCGCTCTCCGTCTCTGCTCTCTGCTCTCCGTTCTCCGTTCTCCATTTCTGTCCTTCCGGACTACCGAGCGTCCGAACGCCGGTGACGTGAGCTGCGGTCCCGCGAGAGCGCGTCTGTACAATTGGAGGGCGGCGCGGCCACGTGGAACGGACGCGTCCTGTCACGCCGCAGTAGCGCTCTTTACGCCGCGGTATAGCGATGCTACCCGTTTTCCCCTTCTGCATTCTACACAAGTAATCAGGCGTTCCGCCCTCTAGACTCGACTGAATACTCGTCGCAATTTTCATGGCAAAAGGACGGGAAATGTCCACCCCGCCACTCCAGCGTGCTAGCCGCGTCTAGGACAGGCTAGGACGCTCTCTACCATGAGTCGAGTCTGGGCGGTGGAGCTTCTTTCTTTTTCGCTCGTCGCTCCGCCTCTTCCTATCGGCCCATAGCGCGGTATCGGTTGAGCTCCGAGCGAGAGTGTACGGCACGCGTCCCGCCTCCTCCTGCTTCATCATTCCATGTCGCGGCGGATGACCTGATACACGTGTGATGCGCACGCCCGCCAGCGCCCTACGTCTGAGGGGCCTCCTCGCCCCGTTTCTGCTCGGCCGCGCCCCGCAGTCCATTTCGGCATCGGGGGGGCGTGCAGCACGCACCGTGCTGCGAGCTTTCGGGTTGAACGTCCGACGACGCTTCGTAGAGTGATGGCTGCCGCCTGGCTACTCCGATACAGTAGTACGCCTTCTATTGTTCGATGGCGCTGACACGACCCCCGCTCCCTTTTGCTATATCACACAGGAACGAGAAGCTGCTGCAAGACCCGGTGCGCCTGCGCCAAATTTCGGAACGCATCCCTGCGGGACGGTGGGGCGAGCCGCGGGACTTCGCTGGCCCTGTCGTTTTCCTGGCGAGTACCGCGAGCCAGTATGTGTGTGGGGAAATCCTGGTCGTCGACGGGGTGAGTGCATTTTTCGAGTACCTTCTTCCGTTTCGTTCCGTCCCCGCACTTCGGCACTATCTCGTATCTCCCTCTCATCTTGCTCTTCTCTTCGCTTGGGGAGACGTGTCATCTTGGCCACAGCGAGCCACGCCGCGCCATGCTTCCAGCCCTCAGGTAGAACACGCGAGCGGACTCCGCTGCGGGCCGGACTGCACCGACCTGCCTTTCATGTGCAAGACGGTGGTGCGCTAGTGCTGTGCCACGGTGACGCGGCGATGCGCTACTGATTGTGAAGAGTTTTTGGCTTGCGGACGAATGAGGAACACGGATGCTGACGGCTGCGCCCTCGGTGGTTTTCACTCTTGCTCGTACACAGGGGTGGATGGGGCGGTGAAAGTCAGCACTGACGCGAACGCGGGCACGAGCACGAGCCGTGGTTCGCTGGGAAGAACGTTAGTGCGTCGTCGGAACCTGGGAGAAGCAAGAGGCGTGTGCAAATGCGCCGCGCTAGCTAGTCTGGAGAAGAAGCGAAGAACCTGTAGACCTGTACTCCATATGCCAAATGCAACAATGCAACGCGTCTCATGGCCACAATTTACCCCCAAATGCGTCTGGATGACATATCCTGTACGCAAGCCTTGAGGTCTGCTGCTCTCGTGGACCCGAGCGTATCTGCGAGCCGCGCGGCAGATCCGCTCGGTCCATCAGCCCTTCTCACATCCTACCCTCCACTGCCCACCGCTCGGAGGATTCGATTGAGCCGGCCAGCACGGAATTCCGCTCGACCGCGAGGCCATGCGAATCGCTGCTATCGCGAGCTATGCCCTGAATCGAACTCATTCGCGAAGACGCCGCAGCTGACGCAAGGTACGCCCTCGCTCCACGCCTTGCGCTCTATGTAGCAGAGTGCCTTCTGTGGCTCCTGCCGCCCATCCCTCGTTGTTCGTCACTCTCGCATTGGAGTCGTCGCTCGAAGTTGTGGAGAGGAACCTGAACACTCCATCCTGAGAGCCACGAGTGATCGGGACTCGGGACCGGGACCCGAGATCCGTGTGCCAGAGCGAGATCCTACCCGCGAGGGCGCGTCGCCATAGCCGACGTTCGATCGCTTCCAAGCGTCGCCTGGTCTGTCGGTGGGCGGTCTGGACTGGCTGGGCTGGTGAGGGCGAGATGGTCGTCGGTGGCGCCGCCCCCGATTGCTTGAGGAGGCAGGCGGGCGCACTAAGTCCGGGACATGACCGGTGACCATCAGATTCAGATTCGCTCGTGGGCCGATGGGGGCGCACCCCATTCAAGGAGAAACGAGCACCCACCGGCACGTTTGCTGGACCATGGATTCTAATTGTAGAGAATATTCTCTCGGAAAGCATGCTTTACATAACGACAACAAACAACAGTACGATCTACGACACGAGGTGCTGTCGCCTTCACCGCTGTTTTGATTTTGTTCGTCATTGAGGTCAAGATTCGCACGACGGCGGAGGCGGTCAGGGGGAAAGCATTCTGACGAGAATGGACTTGGAATGGACGGCCCGGCTCGGGACTCCGCTCCGTCTACGTTTCGTGCGCAATGCAGAGGCTTTCCGTGGCTGTTGTGTACATACCGTACCTGAAGCGGCCCAGATCCCGCAGAGTGACGGATGTCGTTCACGTTGATCAACATGTTCGATATCGAGCAATGGACTGACGTTCTACTGTATCTGCTGACCTTCTGGGTCGTCGCCTCCCGATCCCTTCAACCTCATTTAGCAATGCGCTTTTCTCAATTAATCAGCACAGCGCGCAGATAGCACTACCAATAGTGTCTGGCCTACATCAGTCCAGTACCCTCGAACTTCAATGCTTCATGCTTCGGGATTGGTTCGCCTGAATGGCGGGATCCGAAACAACCCGAGCTGGCCCACAGGGGTCCACAAATCTTTTTGGGTCTTCTGGCCCGCCTGGTGCCGCGCGAATCAGGCGTGGCGGCGGGTAAGCGCAACTCTAGCCCGCCATGTCGCGCATAGTATCGTCCTAATCACCGCAATCACGATCAGTTTCCCTCTGCGATTCGCAATAGGGCCTCCCACAGTTGCCACCCACTGGCTCGGCATTGATTCATTGACTTACAGGCCCATCAGACAAAGGAGAGCTACCTGGGAACCGTCTAACGAGCAGCCGATTCCATCCGCATCCGCCACTGTGAACACCCTGATCCTCAATCATGAGGCTAGAGGCACGAGCCTATTGCCGATGAGTCTAGGTCCGATGACCACGAACATCCCTTGACGTCGTTGTTGACCGGCAGCGGGGAACTGAGGGAAGCCGTCGGTCGGCCTCACGTCAAGGTTAACGTTCATCGGTAGGCTACTGAAACTTAGAACAGCGTGTAGCTCTCGAACGTAGTCTTTCTGGGAATGGTAGAAGTGCGATGTGAGCTGCGATGATGTTCAATAGCCACCGCACAACGCGCACCACTGGGCGCTGCAGGGAAGTGGACGTGCGGTTTTGGTAGCGGAAACGCCTTCTATGCATCCGAAGGGGGTATTGCTGATGGGATTCATCCGGCAGTCTCTTCTGCATTCCACCCATTCGAAGAAGCGTGCATAGCGTTTCATACTTATAACGCCGACGTGGGCTAGTCTGGCAGGGAAAGCAGAGGCGGCATCTACCGTGCGTGTTCATACAAACGCGTGATAGAAAGAGCCAAGAGAACAGAAGAACGAGGCATTGAGATTGCGAGGGCTGGAACTCCGTTCATACAACTTGCTAGCGACTTGGATGGCGAAGGGCATGATCGAAGAATGCGGTCGAAACATGCCTCCGACGTAGGATCAAAGCAAAACACAGATACCGCCGACGCCTTATGGCGAAGTCCGGATGCTCTTTGCGTTCCTTCTGCGAAACGCCGCTGGAAACATTCACTAAAGGACTTCAGGAGCCGTAGGAGGCTAGTGTGATACTCCGTTCTCACATCCAAGGAGACGGTGGGGCTGTCATGTGCCGATGGCCGCACACAAAGCATCGTGCGAGGAGAGCATCGTACGCGGATTTGGAAACACCGATGGTGCACATCATGTGCGGCGGACAAGAATGTGCTTTGTGGAATTCTGGATGCGGTAGAAGCTCTAGAAAGCGCCGGTTCTCGACTGCATCCAGAATGCTACGTCCCGTCAGTTTATACAGATTGAATGCGGCAATGCTGAGAATGCCCGAGGTAGCCCATCAGAGGATCTACGCACCAGCGATGGGGAAAGTAAGAAACGGAGACAAATGCCGTAGTAGGTATCTTCAGGGCGAAGATATCGATCCTGGCCACAATGCTTGGTTGCGCAAAATTTCGGTTTTAGGATTACAAGGATTACGCTCCACTGTCTCCGGACATGGCAAAAATCGCGATTCTTCTTATGTCCCCATTCGCAGCCGCCAGCATGGAGCATGGGGCTTTCACATCCACACACTTGAACGCCTGTATAGTAGCTGAGAGCAAAAGCACGCACCTCGGCGGTGTCAATGCCAACCCGCTATACGAGCTAGTCGAGAACTCCAGAATCCACCAATGGCGCTCCGACCACATCATCATCGGCAAGAAGGGCGTGCCAGTGCAGGAAGGCAAGAAGCCGAGGCTGGGAATACGTCCGTGCTCGCGGCTCGCCGTCGCACGCTGTAACATTGAAACGCACGTACTGCAATGAGGCGGGATGGCGTCCAACGCCATGATCTTCAGATAGGCGACCAGCTAGGCACGGGGATGACATGACGAGGAAAGGTTGCATCCCGCAGCGGCCCCGAGTTCTGGAGAGTGTGCATGTGAGCGGTCGGCAATGGCGCTTGTGTGAGAATCCTCACCAACGTGCCCTCTCCAGCCTTCTAAACGCCTGATGAATGGCGTGCAAGGCGGGCATTAGACTCAGCGCAGTGAGCGACAGGAGCCACACCCATACAGATGTGAGCGAGATAGCATACTACACGCACGATCGAGCAGCAGATCCTCGCCGCTGAGCTCGGTCTAATCAGGCATCCTCTGGTCCTATGACGCGAGATATTTTCCATGGTGATACCGAGGCGATAGAAGCCCAGCAGGCGAATGACAAGCAGATGACCGCGAAGAAGCACGGTTGCAGGCCTCCTTTCATCAGGCGTATCAGGGCGTGTCGCAGCACTTACCTTCCTAGGATGCTCGTCGTATCCTAAATTGGTAAAGGTGTGGCCAGGCGACAAGTGTGAGCGTCCCTCACCGCAGGATCTTCAGGCATGCTGTCCCCCAGGGCGCGGTGGATGTAAGGCTCCTTTGCAAGACTTGCCTATTCTCAAATAATGCCAAAAGGAGCTGTAAGGTGAGAGATCAGCAAAGGCTCTAGAAGTTAAGACGATGATGCCAATGAGGTAGGTTAGGCTCGACAATTCTCCGCGTCCCTCAGGAAGTCTAGCACTTGAGACACGCAATCGTGCTAGTCTGCCAACCAGCTCACGACGCACCTTGCAAGAATAGAATCAATCGCTGACGAGGCGCGGACGACCTGCTCGTGATGCCGAACGTCCCAACAGAAGGGTGGAGTGGGAAGGACGGCATCCCAGGCTTCCTTGGCAGCTAAGGACGGCGCATGTTGTCGGGCGTGGCCCGCGTCCGAATGGTCTAGAGTCGAGAGATAGTGTAGGATGCGACCAACGTGAGAGCGAGGACAAAAGAGAGGGGTCGGAAAAAGGCTGAGAGAGAGTAACAATCGGTCTGTATGGATAGGCTGAGTACTGCAGTCGTTGAGATAGTACAGATGGGCAAGACTGGGCGATGTAGATGTAGTACGTGAATGAAGCATCGAGATACTCAGGTGTCATGTTGCGGTGGGACGTGTCGAACATCGTCGTGGGGATTGTGAATACAGCGGACTTGCGCAAGGCCCAAGGCAAACTCGCTTAGTCGACATTCGTCAGCGAGTTTGAGATTTGCAATACACGAGGGCATGACAACTACCACTGCGACGCTGCCGTCGCGGCGTTCTTCTTCCACGATATCTTCTGCTGTGAGGTGTCTCCTCCTTCGCGGCCAGAGCACAGGTCTATGGATTGGGAGAAAGGGAGCCATGCGGCAAAGGTCCAGAACGTGTGAGAGAAGAAGTCAGCCACAGCCATGGCGCGCGAACACACCTTGGCTTCCGTTTCCGCCCGGCATATTTCGATGTTCCACTGGAACCGGAGCTCTCAACGGAACTGACACGGAGTGCCAACGGCTGCGAGATGTTGGTAATTTCGGATGATCAGAGACGTAATAGCGGAAGAGGGGTACTCGCTCGCAAATGCTCCCATGCACATTCTGATGCCCTCGCGTTCTTCACAACCTCCCGTACACACACGTCCCACAGCTCCGGCGTTGACTGCTCATTGGCTGCTATTGAGACGAGATCCTGCGGGATTCGAAACATGCTGAAATGTATGGCGAGCGTCCTCCGAAGGTGCGGCCAAGCAATGCCCCCTGTAATGCCGAGCGCGAAGATGCCCAGGAAAGCAACGAGGAAGCCAAATGTAAGCGTCGACTCAGTGGAGGCCCCTCCAGTCATGCCCAACTCGCGACTCCGGTCAATGAAATGCGAGGAGAAAATGGCGGTACAAAGAGAGTTGCCGACTGCTGCGGAACATACCCGTTCGGAGGGCGGAGCGCCCGACTCCATCGTCGTTCCGCTCGGGGGTCTCCCGCCCTCTTACCTGGCTCGTCATCTTCGGTCCACTCGCACGCCGTGATAGACGACAAAATTGATCTATCGAAATCTACAGCTAACATGAAACGTAGTTACAGCTTTAAGTTGGCCTCGGTAGTGACTCTAGGCACCGGCCATCTTCTTCAGCACAGCAAACTCCTGCTTCCCGGTCGCCTTGCAGAGGGCGTAGAACTTGGATTGGGGGTTGGAGAGCAATGCCGCCGGGGTGTCAAATTCCACAATCCTACCTTGGTCCAGGAGCATCACCTGCACGGCAGATAGAGTCAGAGATCCCGACCCTGAAGCTGATGTCGACACAGAAAGAGTAAGCCCTACCCTATCGTAATCTATGACCGTTCTGAGACGGTGGGCAATCGTGAGGATCGTGCTCGACGCGAACTCCCTGAGAAAGTGCGAAGAGATCAGGGCCAGAGATCGGTGGGACAGATATACCTCCGCGCGCAAGAGATCCGAGCGGAAGCAGACCCGAGGCCAATGTGACTCACTGTCGAATGGTCTTCCCGATAAGCTCGTCCGTGGCGTAGTCGACACTGCACGGGGCGGCTCGTTAGAGCTCATGTAAGCTGAGACGTCATGAGAATGCGCGTTACCTTGCAGTCGCCTGATACAGCAGGTGGACTCGATCAGCACCATTGTTCCCTGTCCCGCTGGCTCCGAACACGCACCTCGTCCATCAGAAGCACTCTGGAACGTTTCAGGATCGCGCGAGCCATGCATAGCAATTGCTTCTCGCTGTCAGGGGCGATACGCGCACCGGCGTAGAAGGTCAGTAGCAGATCGGTGAGGGAAGACCATCGAGATCTCTGCGTACCCTGTGGAGAAATTCTCGCCGCCTTCGGACACAGAAGAGTCCAGGTTGCGGAAGACGTTTACGTTTATGCCCTCGTGTTCCTCCGCTGTCTCTTCTCCCGATGGGATTAGATGGACCCGTCGGAGCGCCTCGTACTACCGGAGCCAATCAGTAAGTCTGACGGAATGGATGAAGAGCCGAGAGCGTACAATTTCAGCATCCTCATACTCGTCAAATACGTCGAGGGTTGACCGAAGTGTCCCACTTAAGATGGTCGGATCCTCTGTGGATGACACACGGCGTGAACAAGAGGCTGCGGAGAGCCGTTGGGGTAGACTCACGGGGAATGATAGTGAGTTTGCTCCGCAGATCTGTCAAGCCAATCTGGGAGATGTCCAAGCCGTCAATGAGGATGCGACCCTCCACGGGTTCCACGAAACGGAAAAAGGAGAGCGCCAAGGTACTCTTCCCCGATCCAGTACGACCCAGAACGCCGACTTTCTCACCGGGGCGAATCTCAAAGGATAGATGGTGCAGCACGTTGGGCAAATCGGGCTGTCAAATCGTGTCAAGTCGGTCAGCTCAGGGTCCATTCCAGAAGCACAGGGTGGGAGTGGACGAACAGCATATCGGATGACAAGATCCTCGCACTTTATTTCCCCCTTCTCCGGCCAAGACGCTGGAGGTCGGGGTTCGATGAACTCTGGCGGCTCTTGGGGAAGCTCTGAGAACTCCTTGACACGTTCCACAGCGACCTGGATCGTGACTATTGGGGCGCTTTCACAAGGACGAAGAGGGTACTTTCTCACCATCGACTGTTCCAGACCAACGAAGCGGCGAACCTAATCGGGACTTGTCATTGGCTCGTCTTAACGCTGGGTCACTCTATATAGCTTACCATCCAGAGAAGCTAGGAGCCCAGGGTCAGCCCATGTCAACAAGTCAAAGACGGGATACTCACGTCCATGAGGAAGGAGCCGGAGAAGGCAAGCGCGAAGCCAGCAAGAGAAGCGTCAATTCTGGGGGTCATCACGGCGACTAGGGCGACCAGGGCAACAACACAGCTTGACAGCAGAAGGAACCGAGCCGACAGCCAGCGGTTGACTGCATGCTTCCGGTCATCATCCAATTTCCTATTATCCTAACTCTCGAACTCACCTCCCCACATCCAGTACACTGGATTCGCGTTCTAAAGCCAAAGCGTGAGCGGTCATCAGAACGGTAATCTGAGAGGGGATCGCCCACGGTGTCGGCGTAACAGATCATGTCACGCAGGTATTTAGATGAGGCACCGAAGGCACGTACGACGGCGACTCCCGCGATTGTTTCGCCATAGATCGAGTATAGCGGGGACCGGGTGACGGAGTCTGCGGAACGGAGTCAGCGGAGCCGGATCAGGAGCGTGCGACTCCGAGGTATGCGGGAAGCGGCATACCTAATCTGCGCATGTCGCGGGATGTTTGTCCGTAGACCTTACCCAAAGCGTCAACCTAGAGTGCATGCGTGGTATGACGCAACATACCTTGCCAACTGCACGCGGGTGAATGAGTGTAAGCAGAGCGCAACCGGTAGTGGTTCGGGACACTTACTACTGTAAAAGATGAAACCGAAGACGAAGCCGGCGAGCAGGAAGGTAGGCCCGCCCACAACCGAGACAGTGATGAAAGTGGTCAGTACCGACAGGCCGTACATGACACTACGGCCGAAGTTGTCCGGGAGGCTGCTATCGATGCCTACAAGATGATGTATATTAAGTGGTCTTCTCAAAACTAAGGGTCTCCATACCTTCGAAGTCCTTCCCAAAGCGATTCAGTAGCCGACCACGCGACACAGTGTCGTGGAATCGGATTTTAGCGAAGAGCACAGCCTCGAGCAGTCCTGCGAGACTCAATGAGCATCCCCACATTCGCCATCGCCGGCAGATGACTTACTCTTGTAGAGCACTACTGAGCCATGGATGCCTCCGTGATCTTTTCGACCAACTGTCAGTCAGGGCCATCATGATTGCAGTACGCGGACTTACAAAGTACGAACCACCGCAAAGTAGTAAGGATCAAGCCTTCACATAGGTGAGACAGAGAACACCCCAAGAGAATCGCTCAACGTACCGACACCCGTGATCTATAAAGCATCAATGAGGACGTACTCCTTTCAAAGTAAAGGAGCTACTTACCGCCGCGTACACGGTGATATAGAACGTCGGAGACTTCGGCTCCGAGCTCAGATTTGCCCCAGACCATACCTTCAGCCAGCCGTTTTCGAACACAGGGCTCAGCGCCCCAACTCCGAGCGAGCACGCAAAGATGATCCAGTACCCGTACGATCCGCAGGCAGAGAGATACATCACCCAGATGTCCTTGCCGATGTGACCCACAGCGCGCTTCTCCTCTTCGACGAGCTTCCTCGGGGCTTTTTGCTTCTTGTCCGGCTTCGTCTCTCCGTCCGCCTGCGTCGGGGCCACCGTCGAACTTGTTTCGGAAGTCTCAGTGGACTCACGGAACGTAACTTCCTCCGCAACGTCTTCTACAGCCCGTTCGACCTGCTTCTCCTTCTCAGCTGCTGTCGCGTCCTCCTTTTCCTCGTCGCCGGACGACTGAATGAGGGTGCTCAGGACACCGGAGCTCTGCAGCCCATCGTAGTCGCCCGTGTACTGGACGCGCCCATTGTCCAGCGCGACGATGTATTTCGTACCCGGGGCGCAGAGCTGGACGTGGTGCGAAACAAGTATCACTGTGCGACCGCGCATCAAATCGCCCTTGAGACATTCGTTGAAAAGGTGGTGAGCGGTATGAGCATCAACTGCAACGGGACGCGTGAGATGATTTTCGTGAGTCGACGACGTGACATATGTACCTGCAGAGAGCACATCGTCCAGGAAGAGGACCGCCGCACGGGAGTAGACCGCGCGGGCGAGCGACACTCGTGCCTTCTGGCCCCCAGATAGATTTACCTGTATCGCATAAGGAGGCATCAGTCACTCGCTCCTCAAGCCTAGGACCAGGTACACTTACACCACGCTCTCCAATCTCCGACTGGTCCCCGTCCTCAAGAATGTCGAGGTCGCTTAGCAAAGCGCACGCCTCGAGCGTTTTCTGATACCGTTCCTCCACGTATGGGAGGTCAAACAGTATGTTGTCCCGGATCGACGCGTTTCGCAGCCACGCCGACTGCGGCACGTACGCGCACACGCCCTCCACCACCCACTCCGATTCGCTCACTTTCTCCTTCGCGAACTTAGCAATGGTATCGGGGGGCGAGCGCGGGCTCAACAACTGCCCAGACAAAAGGTCCGCCTCGCCGAGGAGCGCTAGCAGAAGCAAGGACTTGCCGCTCCCGAGCTTACCGCAGATAAGGGAGAGCTCCCCAAGCGGGAAGTCGAGCGAGACGTCCATGAGCACGAACTTGTTCCTAGGCGTCGCAGCCGCTGAGGGCGTGGCGCTTTCGCGAGAGCGATCCTGCGGCCAGGTGATGGTGGCAGATTGCAGTGCGATGGGGTGCGCTTGGCCGTCGAGCGGCGGGACCGGTTTGACTTCCGCCCCGTAGAGGTACTTTTCGATACGGCGGAGCGACACAGCGCATTGGAGCATATTGATTAGCGTCTCTGGGAGCGCGTTCAAGGCGAACTTCATCTCGTTGAAAACTGGATGCAACGGTCTATATATGACACAGCGAATGGTGCAAGGACGGAGGGTGCTCACCACTGATCGAGGTAAAGGCAATCGACGGCGTCAAGACTTGCTTGCGGACGACTGCGAAGTGCCAGAATGAAACGAGCGTGACCAGGATAGGTGAACCATTCCTGTGTGACCGAGTCAGCGGAGAGCTTCAGCGACAGAAAACAGCTACACCTACCAGATCGCATTCCAAAGCACCTCAATCGTGTAGTTGAGCTTCTGGTACTTGAGCTCACGCTCGCGGACCTTCAGGACGCGTTTCTCGAAGCTGCGCTCCCAAGCCATGAACTATACCCGATGAGCAAATCCCCTCCCCACCCCACTGGAACACGCACCTTCAACATCTTGATCCCGCCCAATATCTCATTCATCAGCGCCACCCGCTCATCCCGCGCCTTCATCAGGTTCTCCTGCGCCCCCACCACGACCTTCCCAGCAAAGTGGTTCATCGGCAAGAACAGGCACGCCACCGCCAGCCCAAAGAAGCACGACACCCCCAGCAAGCTATACAAGAACAGCGTGCCGATCACGATCTCGATCGGCGCGTCCACGATCGTGAACAGTTGCTGCCCGAACTGCGCAATGCGGTCGACGTCGGTCGTCATGAGCGTCATCACCTGCGCCTTGGACGAGAAGTCGTCCTCGTCGTCCTTCTTCTCTCCTTTCTTGCTGCTCTCGCCGTCCGCGGACTGGCGCTCCGGCCCAGTAGCGTCCTTGGGCGCCTCAGAGCTCGAGGACGCGATGTCCTTGCGGACGAGCGTCTTCTGGAAGAGGATCGTGTTCAGCTGGAGCTTCGTCCGCACCTGCACCACTGTCGTCGCGATGCCCCAGAGCTGCCCGGTCACTGCGTCCCAGTATCAGCCTGGACATCCCGACAGCGTTGCGAGCAAGACGAGCGTGGACACTCACGAATCTGCGTCGTCGCGTGACTCAAAAACAGCCCTGCGCAAAACACGAACCCCCACTGCTTGTTCTCTCTCTCCGGGTCGACCTCCAAATACCGCACCACGCCCCGCAAGAACATCGCCGGCACGTAGAACAGCACCGCCGCAATCGTCGCCAGCACCGTGATCGCGACAAATAGCCCTAGGTTCACCCTCGCCAGACGGTAGACGAGCTCGATGCCGGAGCCAGGTGTGGGACGCCACGCCCCAATGCGGAGCCGGAAGCGACGCATCACCACACGCATCTGGGCATACAGGGCCATGGCGCGCATGCTGGCTTCCAGAACGGGGAGGTCGCCGATCTCGAGCGACTCGGAGGTGTAGCCGAGCATGACCACTTTGGTGGTGTAGGAGAAGAGGAGGTAGTCCAAGACGGACGCGCCTGTTGTAAGGTGTGAGCTACCGATCTGCGAGTCGCACGGGCGCAGTCTAAGATGGTGTTATTCTAAATGAATCAGCGCGGAAGCCGCTAGGAGGCTTTCGGCCACCTAAATCCACTCCCAATGGACATAAATGCATCATGGCCGTCTCCTCACAAATTCATGAAGGAATAGCACCTATGGAACGAGGTACGGGCAGATCATCGAGTCCCTCCCTCTCGAATACAACGGGTGCACCAACGTCTCAAGAAGAATTTTCAATTCGAAGATCTGCAGCAGGAAATGGTGTGGTCACAGGGGATCTTTCCGCAAACGGGTTCGTCCTCTAGACTTTGAGCGATCGAAGCCTCTCACTCCGAGGACCCGCTCGGATGCTGCTTCCGAACTGAATCACGTCTACATGATCTCTCGACGTCGTCCACTGGCTGGCACTTCTACCAGGAATAATACAAGCACCTGAACACGCACCTGTAATCTCGTCCACGTTGTCCTCGTACCTGGACGTGGTCTGCATGAGCGTCTTGGCCGAGTACATTCGCTCGCTCGGGAAATGCAGCTTCGGCCCCCGAGGCGTCGTAACCGCCACCGCGGCCGCGGCGAAGTACAGCGCGAGGGTCGCGTACCAGAGTCCCAACGGCGCCCCGTCCTTGACCCAGGCCGAGCCCCACATTAAGGATGACGGCGCGGGGATCCCGGAGAACGGGAAGGGCGACGAGGGGATGATGGCGGTGATGGCGAGGAACACGAAGGCGGTGAAAGTCAGCGCGGAGAGGTGGACGATAGCCGTCGCGTGTGCGGAGTAGGTCTGGTTGACAGAGCGGCTGGCGAGGATGAGCGCGTACAGCGCGAACGCCGTGTGCAAGGAGTAGACCATGATGTCCACGGAGTCGGACTCGGTTATGGACCAGCCGAGGGAGATCGCCTGGATGGCGAGGACCGCCCCGAGGAGGAGGGAGAGCAGGATCTTGCGGAGACGCATCTGTAGTGCGTGGTGTCCGCCACGGCTCGACAGCTCAGTTTCCTAGGGACTGGTATGAGCTATAGACGTGAAGGGGAACGCACCCTGTTCCAGAAACGCTGCTCGTCCAACGGCTGTCCGTCGACGAGGTCCTCCGGCTCAGTGACGTCGAACGGGTCCCGCAAGAGACCCTCCTCGCCGTCGACGAACGTCGGGAGCGCGGTCTTGCCCTCCTTCTCCTTCGTGCCGCTGAGCACATAAGTTGTCGCGCTGACGAGGAGTGCGACCCCAAGCGCAGCTGCGACGTGCAGCTGGTATGCGGGCATCGCGCGCGTGTTCTCAAGTTGTCTCGTCCAGGGTGCTCCGTCTTTCGCAAGTTTTGAAAAGCCAAGCAAGAAGCAAGAAGTGTTTCAAAGGCGTAACGCTAGAACTTATACCGCCCTCTACGGCTTACCCTTTCGTGTCTCTAGCGCGGCTGCTCCTAATAGTCAACGTAAGTCGTCACCGGGACCGCAACAGAGGAGTCAGAGGACGATGATGACCCGCGGTCCCATCAAAATCTTGCCATGAGCGCCTTTCCGGCCTCTTCGGCACGGACGCCGACGTCGGATGTTTGCTCGATCGCGATCGGAAGCCACGCGAGCGCCCTTGGATAAAATAATTGGGGCGTGTATTGGCTCAGGCGAGTCCGGTTCATTCAATCACGCACTCGGAGGCCACAGACAGCCATGTGCCTGAACCACCTGGAATGCTCAGCGATGATGCTAATACGGCCTTGGGTCTGGGGATGAGCGTTTGAACGTCGAATCCCAGGCTGTCCGACGTAGTCGGGACTCGACCACATTCTCCGGCGGCGTCGGAGACGACGTCGTCTGCTGGATAGTCTTCTACCGCCGGGCAAGGCACGATGCTCGTTCGGGAGATACGTACGTGGTACATATGTACTGGTTTGGCAGCAGCCAGTGACTCAAGGACGCTAGATATAGACTTCTGCTTGCACAGTGCTTGCAAGTGGGATGGAGGGCGCTGATGGACGATCTCCGGAAGCGTCCGCACTGGTGTTGCGAATGGCTGGAAGGATGATAGCGGCGGAGACTGGGCGGGACTGAGAGGTCATGAGACTGAGGAAGTTCGTAAAGGCGTGGACGTGTCGGTGTGGAACGGAGAAGCGGTTGGAGGGACTCGATCCACTCGACTGAAGCCGAGTTGCAATGGACTATTCGTCAGGAAAAAGCTAGGGAGGACGTGCAGTCCCGCAGGTTGTACAGTAGGCCGGCAAGTGGGTCAAATGCCTATTCCAGGTGTCCATGCGATGCATTGGTGGGTCAGGCTCGAGCTCCTTCCCACCACCGCTCTGAAGTTGAGATATCTAGACTAGGGCGACGGTGATCGCGTCGAAAGAGGCTGCCCCAGCTTCTTGAGGCAATACTCCCCGAAGCGCAAGAAATATCCACGTATCTCGAGCAGCGATAGATCTTATGTACATCGGTTGATCTATATAGGACGTACAGAAGCTCCGGTCGGTGTGCGACTGTTATCGACTTGCGATAGTAGGAAGCATCAGGTACGGAAGGGCTACGACCGCGAGTACTGATTTACACAGGAAATACTAGGTACCAAGGCGTGCGAGAGTACACTGTGCGCTACTTGAAATCTATACATAGGTACAGTCTAAGCTCCTCGTCCATCTTCGCGCTTGTTATCGGCAAACTACCGGTAGTCCCTAAAGCTAATCTCCCCGTCCAACACTCGGAGCGATTGCAAATTCAATTCGAGCACTCCCAGAAGAGCAGTGGTCGCCAGATCCAGGTCGAAGATTCTGTGTCCAGCACACAGCGCATCATCTAGAAACTTCTTCCCGTACATCGAGAAGTCCCGCCGCGTCGGACGTGCACATCCTCGATGTCGGGGGGTAGCTTCAAGCATGCTTTACCACACCAGGAAGTGCGCATCAATCCGAGAGTTGTTCCCTCTTTCAGCGGCCTCCCTGAGGGAGCGGCACAAGGGCGTCGTTGAGGACTCCGTGCTCACATTGAGACGATCCTCAAACTCTAAGCAATTGTCTGCTCATCTTAGGATCGGGTCTGCAAGGTTTTCTACAAGTGATAACTCGGCCCTCATAACATACCATATACGACTACTAGTGGTACGAGGATCTAGTGAAATACCGAAACCCTTTGAACACGACTTCGCCGTCTACCAATGCCCGCAAATCCTCGAGACTGGCATCGACCACCTCCGACTCCATAGATGAAAGATCATTTTCTACAACCTCGGGGCACGTCCGATCTAGGGACCGCCGCTCGTATTCGAAGATCTCCAGATACGTGAGTCGACTGATGCTTGGTGAAATGGACGCCCGATATTCGATGACGTCCTTGAACTGTCGCAGCCTCTGGGTCACGTACTCCTTGAGGTCTTCCGGGTTCGGCGATTCCAGTAGCGTTCGAAGGGAGCCTTCGGGTACTTCCACCCGCGTTACGAGTTCTCGAAGAGACGGACATACTAGTGCGCGCGAATCTGTCCCGTTGGAACTACCGTCTCCTGGCCACTTCAGCAAGCAGAGAGTCTCCCAAGGATCTCCTCTCGTGTCGATCTCTACCCGCAGGAGGTGCGGGAAGGCCTCGAAGAGCGCTGTCTGGTCTGAAAACCATCCATCTATGATGTCCAGAACCAGGTGTGCGACGTTGATCCACAATATCGGTGCTTCGGGACGGAACAGCGGCCTCACAAGTGTTTCCAGTCGTATACCCCAGACGAGCGTCTCCGCTCGAAAGCGCTCCGAGGGACTGTGAGCATTGTCGTCCTGTGTGTAGCATTGCATGGTGAACTGGCAGCTAATCTCTAGCCTGACTAGAAAGACCTCGGAGAGCAAGGAATGGACGGCCTCGACACTGCGTTTGTCGGGATCTAGCCAAGCGCGGTGATCGCGTTCCGTGACATGGCCACACTCGCACGGGTCATCGGCGCACGGGCTATCGCTCAGGCGAATGCGACAAGTAGGAGGTAGGATCAAACCGACGAGGGGACCGGAAGCAAAGGTGCTCGCATCTACGATGAGAAGATCGCAGAGGGAGCGGAGGTGTATGGGTTCGCGGTGCTGCCAGGTGTCCCGCCTTGGTCGTGGCGTTGGGAGCACTTGCATCAGCTTGAGTACCTCCAATGTCTCCCTACATTTCTCGAGCGCCTTTTGCAGACGGGTGATTGAGGGTAAGCATATGTCAGCATTACTGGGGCAAGGATTGCGCAGAGTGACGTGTGTCAAGGTTCCGCAAGCAATGAGCGGGAAGAGAGCTCCTGGTAGTTGGAGGTGACGAAGGCGCGGGAGGCTCCCATTTGGCAATGCCTTGCAGGCGACCTGCGAACCCCACTCATCAAGCCACATGCTTGGATAGTTGTCGTCGTCGTCGTAATCATCGTCGTCGTCGTCGTAATCATCATCGTCGTCGTCGTCGTCGTCGAGATCATCATAGTCCGGGAATGGACATAGGATACAGAGCTCTTCGAGACAGGACATTCCGCCGCGGAGAGTCTCCCAAAGGTTATGCAGTTGATCGGCGCTGTGAACTTTAATTTCCAAGACGGCGATCCTGGAGATGTGAGGGAGTAGATGAAAGCGAAGCCCTTCGGGGAAGTGGCATATAGTCATGCGGACGTTGTGCGGAGCAGAGCGTTCCAGGAGAGTGTCCATGTAGGAATATCGAAGGGGGACTACGTGATCAGGCCCAGCGAGAGTGAACAATTCACAGGCAGTTGCGTCCGCCCATAGCTTCGAAGTCCTAAGGGCGGTGGAGCGCCACCTGCGACAAACATGAGCCATGCGCAGACTCGAGCGATCCTGCCACGCTTTTCGGAAAATGACCGACAAGAGCTCGAACGGAAGCCGGTGGATGGGAGAGACGACGTTGTGGATCGAGTGCAGTGCGAGCGCAAATCGACGGTACTCTTCTGCCCTGGCCAATGTTCGCTCTCGCACAGCTGAAGCGCAGAGTCCTGCGGGAGGTCAAGCTTCAAGCGTGATAAAACTTACCACGCGCGGTGACTAGGGGTGCTCAATTCTTGTCGGTCGCTCAGTTGCTCGCAGATCTGGTACCGCCCGAAGGGTGCCAAGCATCTAGTCAAGCCCCTTAGTGTAGCTCAGAATATTTCTCTTCGCTGGATCACTGGCGCCTTCCGAACGACCCCGGTCGGCGCCCTTCATGCTCTCTCTGGGGTTCTCCCCGTCTCTATCTACTGCGCCAAGCTGCAACAGTCCTACCGGCTTCGCATACATACATTACGCTCCTCACATCCAGTTAAAGCCCTTTTCCCTTCTCTTTACCACGTCCATCCCACTATTCCCACTTTCTCTTTCTATCCTCCCCTCCTCCCCCCTCGTGCCCCGGTTTTTTCAGTCCGGCCTAGGCGCCGTGTCCTCCCTCCCTGCGCGCCCCGATTTTCTCCCGCTTCCTCCCTCTTTTCCCTCCCCTCTCACGTCCTTCCACCACAGCGTCACACATGACCTGGACCCCCTCGACCCGCTCTGCCGCCCCGGAGATCGCCTCATCGACCGCTTCCCAGACCGCATCACCCTCTACCTC